AATTTTTTTAAAGTTTGCTCGTTTATTATCAAAAATTAACCAAATTACTAACCCTTCTAATCATAAAAAAGAACTTAATAATTTGGCTCAATATATAAACCAAACATTATATAAACTACAATACCCGACAGATTGTAATAAAAGGAAATTAATTGTTTGTTCAGTTAATTAATTAATTAATTTATTTATTATTTTCTTTTATTTGTAAGGTGAACATTAATTGTGGATTTGGGTGTATAGTTCACCATATTATGTAATTATTTTTGAATTAAAAATTTAAAATTAATTTAGTTTTTGTTTATATATGTCAACATTTTCAAACCGGACATTAATTTTTGATAATGACGGTGACAAGTGGACATATAAAGTCAAGTGGAGTGATGTTTTCAGGCAAATTACAAATTGCAGTTATGAAAAACATGTAAATGATTTAAATACAGCCTAGTCTACACCTAATCGTTAAATAAATAGAAGTAAATCAGAAAGTTTAAAAAATAAATAAAGTTTTAAATCAACTAATAACAAATATTAAGGTTCGTCCTTATTTGCCAATTACCCAATATAAAGGACCTACACAACAACAAAGAATTGTTTCACTCTCCTTAAGATCAATGACAAGGGATTTAACGCATTTACCAAATGTAGCGCCATCAGAGTTAGAAGAAATTCTGACCAAACACCACACAAGCCCTCAAGCTTGGTTCATGGGACAGGTATTGAATACTTTTAAATAATGTAAATTATTGCTGGGTTTACTATATTGGACAAGATTCTGGATAGAGTTCAACACTGACATTACTTTTTCAAATAAAATATTTCTTAACTAATCTTATTTTAGTATGTAAATTTTGTGTTGAGATTCAATGAATCGGCATTACTAAAAATTAACAAAATTGAGTCTAAATTCAATATGGATTATGGTGAAATTTTAATAATTTTATTTAATTATAAGTCCTTAAATAATCAGGAACAATTGCTGGTATTCACGTAAGAAGAACAGACAAATATATAGAAGTACCCCCATACAAGTTGGAGGAATATATGGTAATAATAATAATTTTGAATATTTATTACCGGATAAAAATATCTAATGTTTTTAGAAATGGATAGATTTATGGTATAATACCGAAGAATATAAGGTTGAAACGATAAATCCAAAATTAAATTTAAAACAACAAAACAAAACATTAAATAGACGAAAATTATTTATTGCAACTGATGAACCTAAAAATATTATTCTGGAAGCTGAAAAACGTTGGGGTAGCCAATACGAATTCTTACATAATCGGCAAGATGCTCATTGTTAGTTTAATTATTTTGAATTTTACAGATAATTTATCTTTTTAATCGTAAAAAGAGTTAATTTTTAATTTAAAATATTTTATTAATTTTCCCTTATTTTATAATAAAAAAGATGGAAAAGATGCAAATGACCCTGAGAGGTGCTCTTTGGAATCATTAATTTCATTAATTGTGGAAATTCGTTGTTTGGCCAAATGTCGATTTGTAGTCTGTACATTTTCTAGCAATGTAGGGATATTTTAATTATATTAATATTTTTAAGTATATTAATAATTAAAAATATTTGGAAAGGAGAACAAAATATGTATACCGAATATTTAGTATTTATTTAAAAGGTTTGCCGACTTGTCTATGAACTTATGCAAGCTTATCAAGGTTATGCAGGGGAGAATGTTCATTCTCTCGATTTTGATTATGAAGAATTATGGCCTGGTAAATCTAAAATAAAATCTTAAAAAATATTTTCTAATAAAATCAGAAAAACAAATGATATCAATTTCTGATTATAAAGCAACAAATACTGAGGAAATTGATGCTCTTAAAGGAGACATTATTAGTGAGAGTATTTTATATTTACTAAAAAATAAATATTATTAATTTTAAGTATTTAAAAAGCAAAAATTAAATGGATATATTGGAGCTTTCAACACTCGAACAAAAAAGGAAGGAAAATTTCCTCATGGATTACTCAGAGAAAAATTAAAATTTGCGAGTTTCCCTGTTTTTTCTTTTAATTAAAAAAACTTTTTTATAAATTATTTTGATAGTAAACAAAATATTAAAGTATTTAAATATAACTATTTTATTTATAATTAATTAATTATATATTCTCTAATATAATCAAACAATCTATTAATTAATAATAATCAGATTGTTATATTGCCTGTATTATTTGGTTGAAGAATGTTTTTGATTTTTATTTTTTCTTCTTCTTTTTGATTTAAAAATTGTTGCAACAAAATATCCTAAATTTTTAAATTAACATTTTTTAATTTAGTCTTGTTCAAAAGATCTACTTAATTAAGTCCCAAAACCATATTTTTGTTTTAAATTAAAGAAATATTTCTTGTATAATAATCAGATTGTTTTATCTTTTTAATCGTAATGGTTGGGCAGACGAACCCCCAATTCAGTTCATTTCATTAAATTTATTAATTTTTACCTTCAATGCAAGTGCACTCAAACAAACAATTATTAAAGCTACAAACAAAGCTAATATACAACTAAATTTAGTTAAACAATTATAGGAACTATTAACTTCTTCTTTTATGTAAAAATTTCTTCTAAATGATGGAATTGATTCGATAGAACCCAAATCTGTTCCAAACGCTGAAATCATAAAAGGAGGTTGGGCAGATGAAGCTGAGGATGATGAACGTCTACTTCGCATATCTGTGAAGGTTTTAAAATAATTTTTTGGAATGGAAGTATTTTTAGGTAAAGGAATTGGTGCCGAAACACATCTTGAACGAAATTTGCCATCGAATGATGGTTCTCTAGGAAATATTTTTAATTTTGGCATTAAAACATCTAAAAATAAAATATAAATATTTCTAAAGAAAATATAAAAAAACATACTTTTATTTAATAAAGAGATTCTTATTACTAAATTTATATAGGATTTAAATGTAAAAAATATAATATAGTTTATATAATATACATAAAACAATAAAATTTTATTAATTCATAAAATAAATAAAATTGTAATACATATTTAGTTTTTATATTAAGCATTTAAAAGGTCAGTTTAAAAAAACTTTTAGTATCAGACAATAATATTTTATTTATTTTAAAATTAATTATTTAAATTATGTAAAATACTACATATTAAAAATATATGTATTGAAACACATCAACAAATATTTATTTAGTTAATCATGTGGGAAATGTTTACTATTAAGTTTAATTTTAAAATATTTCAAGGAAATAAAAAATATGTTAATATTCAATATTTACATAATTACCTACATATATGTAAGTTCTAAGAAAATTTTAAAAATTTAATAAATAAAATAATATTGACATCCAACAATAATAAATAATCTAAAATTGGTTGTTATAAAGATTAAAACTAGCTTAAAAATTTGATCATTGAGATATATGTAAAATATTTAAATATTATTTCCTTGAAAAACAAGTAAAGAAAATAAAAAGAAGATTATTAGTTCTAGTAATTTTTCTTATAAATGCTAAAACATTATTAAAACATACTTTTTTAAAATTTTTTCAATTCAAAATAGGAAAAGGTTGGAATATTTTTATTAAAAAATTTTGAATTCAAAATTTTTTATAAAAATTTCTTTGATAATTTTTAAATGCATTTTAACATTAAGCGCTAAAAATTACTTCAGGTTCAATTAAAAATCGTTCGAAACATGTTAGTGATCATTCACAGACCGGTTATTGAAATTTAAATACTTTTTATAGTTTGTTGAGCTTATCGAATAATTAATTTTATTTAAAATTATTGTGAAGTGGAAAAAACTAAAAATATTAAATTTAAGTGGGCGAATTAAAATTTAAGAGAATTTAGAAAAAAATAAAAACAAGCAACAGACTGCGATGTTTTGGCATTTTTAATTACTCTATCAAAATTTTCATTTAAACTATTTTTGTTTGTACAGTTGTTTTGCGTAAAAATTTCCAATAAATTTAACAAATTAAATTGATTAAAAGTTCTCATTAATTTAGTTAATAAAATGGAAAAAAAGAATTCGAAATTAAGATTTGATACTACAAATATTACAAGTACTACTTGATACTACAAGATGTGTGTGTGTCAAAAAATAATTCTATTATGGCAAAGTTATTAGAATTGACTAGAATATACACGATGGTTGTGCTTTGCTGCAGCAATTTTCCATGATTTACTCGATATTATTCAGAAAACGGAAGTAGGTTCGTTGATTTCAACTAGGAGGCGGGTATGTAGGGCACGGAGTCGGGGCGCAACATTAGTGTTAAGCAGCCAAAACGAAAATTTTGGTTCGGTCCTCTTTATTCCTTCCAAACTCTCCAACTCCTTTCAAAAGTAAATATTTAGATTTTACAAAATATTTTACTCTTCAATGTTCTGCTTCAATATTATTATTAATTTTAATTTTAATTTCAGAGTATCTAAATCAAAAACGAACAAAAATTGCTTGAATTATTTAAACTTCTTTGTACTAATTACATATATTTAAATTTTATTATAAAGATAAATTTTTTTATTTAAATAATTCTATTAAAAAAATTTTTAAATATAAAATCACGTTTATATTTTATTAAATAAAAAGTCTTTTTTTTATTATCCTTTTTTAAATAAATATATAATTAAATAAATATATTAAATTAAAAATCTTTTACAAGCCTTTATTAAAAATTAAATTAAAACAAAAAATAATTTTTATTCTCCTTTCATTCCTCACCTTTTCAGACATTTTAATTAATTTCTCTTAGATTTTAATTATTAACTAAGATTTCTAAAATAATTTTTTTGGTAAATTATATGTTTATAATACCTACAAAAAAATTACCTACGTAAAATGAAGTAATTTTGACATTTGAAAAATAAATTATAGGAATATTTTAACTTCCCTCAATTATTCTTTTCAAATCACAAAATAAATTAAATTTTTGAATTCAGATTTTATTTAAATTTATTTTCTTCGTAAAAATAATATTTTGTACTAAAATCCTTTAAATATTCAAAAAAGATGGTGCAGGCAATAACTTTAGCAGTAATGATCAACGCTTACTTAACTTTTTCTCTCGGAATAGTATTTAATTTTTTGCTTTATTATTTGGCAAAAAAACATTCAACAAATGATCTCAAAGAATATTTTCGAATTACAGTCTATCACATTTGTTGGCATTTGCTTCAAATAATATCACAAACAATAGGGCAACCCGTAAATATTTTTTAAAATTTCATTATTTAAAAAATTTATTTAAAGCTTTTCTTTATTGCTTCGGATAATAATGCTTATGTTTTTCTCCACGGCCCGGGTAGATGGATTCCTGCAATTCCTTTACAGCATTTGGTTCTCTTGGTTTATTTGTGTACTTTGGGATGTAGCACAACATCTATTTCATTGCAATTTATTGACAGATATTTGGTTATTTGCAAGTAATTAAGTTTGGTTTAAATAAAAATTAATTGGAAAATACTAAATAAATAATATGTAACTGCCTCCGGTTATGATGCCCCGTAAAGAGTAATTTTATTGAAATTTATCTCGAATCTTTATTGCTTCTCAAGTCCAAATCTCTTGTTATAAATAATATTGTATTTAAATATTAATTAACTCATAACCAAATTAATTTTAAATCATATTCATTCATTTAACAGAAATCATTCAAATCATTTTCGTCGCTATTCAATTATGGGATTTATTGTTTTGCTTAATGCTTTAGTAATCATTATTGTAAATATTTGTTCATTGCCCACAGTTAATTATCAGCTAACGTTACAAAAATTTGTCAAAATTTGTGGGTTATTATTCGACAACACACAAAATGTTGAATTCTTACAGAGTATCAGAATTATTTGGTCATCTGATTATGTAGGAGTTTTTTAAATTATTTTTTTTAATAAATATATTGATGACGGGGGAGAGGGGAGCTTTCTTGGACACTTATTTTTTGGACTTTATTACTATAATTTACCAAAATTACAATTTAAATACAAAATAGATCATAATATTTTTTAAATTCAAATTTTCAGGATAATTTAATTCAAAAAGCTTTTCTCGGTCTAATGATTATTTCTGTTGTATTTTTTAATATAGCAATTATTTTCTGCTATAAAAAAATTAAATATTTTCTGATAAAAAATCTGACAGGAAGTTGGAGTACTTTAAGTTGTGAAGCTTTGAATCAGGTTTTGAGAAATATGTTGTTACAGGTATTTATTTCTTTAAATTTTTATTTTCTAAGGAATTAATAAACAAATTTTAATTTAAATAATTTTTAAAAAACATAATAAAAATTATTTTAAATTTAAAAATTATTTTTTAAAGGCAATTCTTGCTGCATTAACATCTTTAAGTATGCTTATATTCGTTACATTAGCAGTTAGTGGAATTTTCTCAGTTATTATCCTTCCATTTGAACTTTTATTATTTTTACCCTCTCAATGGTTGCCAGTACTCAATCCTTTAATTACAATTATAACTGTACATAAATATAGAATTGGATTTAAAAAACTGATTGGATTAAAAGTTTTTACAGAAAATTCGAATAAACAAACTCCAGTTGTTTTGCCAATGGTGCAAACAAATAATAACGAAAATGTTGTTGTACAGGAAAGATGTATAACACCGTTAAGAAATGAGTTATTTCAGATTGACCGAACATATAATTAATTTTAATAAATTTAAATCAAAATATATTTACAAAAAAAGAATCTAATTGTATTTACAGAAAGATGGAAAATATAAAAAATAAAAAAATCACTAAAATTTAATCAAACTAAAAATTAAATAAAATTTATATTTTTATTGAAAAAAGTTTTTAAGTCAAAATATCATAAATAGTATTATGATTAAGGTTGCCGGTTCGGTCCGGTCCGAAAGATCGAGTCGGGCACCGAATTTTGGCCCGAAAAAGACTCGGTCGGGCCGGCCCGAAAAAATGACTCGTACGCGGCCCGACTCGAAAACGACAACTCTAATTATAATCATTGATAAAGTAGTCGACCGTCAATGTCCAGCTCGCTCTCATTGATGAAGCACTCTGCTTCTTTCCCAGACTTTTCATATTATAATTCAATAGCTAGTAATTTTATATTCTGATTTCTTAAGCATCAGAAAGCATATTTGAATCTAGAAATTTTTGACGTAATATTTTATGATAGCCAACATAATATGTCCAATAAGCAACATTAAAAACTTTAAAATATTTTTAAATTTTTAAAAAATAAAATTATTTTCATACAAAAATAGGATAAAGGAAAATAAATTCGTGCTTTTTCGTCCCAATAAACTGGATCTGAACAATTTCTAAAATTATTTTAAATTTTTATTATTTCAAATAAAAATTATAAAAAAATAAATTTTAATTAAATAATTAAATTATATTGAAATTTCTTTCAAAATTTTAGATTCTCTTATAAATAAAAATATTCATTTACCTTTTAACATTATTAATTAATTTATTAGCCCTCATTTTTAAATATTTTAGTAATTTTATTCGTCTATATTCTATTTTAGTTTTTTCTTCATTTTCTTTAAATATTCTTTTATTATTTTGATTATTTAATTTATAACTCCTTCTCATCGATGATCTTTTCGAATTATTCCTTTTTAACAAAAAAGTTCCATAACCATTGACTAAATCAGAGTTAATTAATTTTTTAAATTAAATTTACTTTTTTGTCGATTATTTTTTGATGAAATATTGCTATTTTCAAATAAATTATCTTCAATATCTACTGGTATAAAAGAATTCTCCTTAAAAATAAAAATAGATTTAGAGGACCAGGCATTTTATTTTGTGAAATTAACATCTTCTAACAATATAATTTTCTAGCATTTAGAAATTTTTGGTTATGATTTTTAAAACAATGTATAAAAATATTTTCCTATCTCTTTATTTTCCTATCCGCTTAATTATTTTCCTATCCTTTTAAAATTTAAATAGATTAACCATAGAAATATTTATTGCTGCATCACTTTGGGATATACTATGTAGCATATCTTGTTCTTGTTCGAATAATAATGTAGATTTTCTCCTAAAATTACGTGATCTATATTTTCTATGTAAATGTCCAACAATCGCAAGTTCTATTAAAGAAAAGGCAATAAATGCAATACTTCCAAATATCCAAACATCTACTGACATTACATAACTAAATTAATTAATGTCTCTCAGATAATAATTTTATTAAGTATGTATCTAATATGTAGTAAATTATCTTTAATTAATTACCCAGCCCAGTGGGAACTTTAAAAATAATAATAATAACCCTATCTAAAATGACGTTTCGAATACCGCCTCCCTATTAGTTAGCCCGCTAGCAAATAAAATAATAATTACTACGGGTAATTAATTGAATAAATACAGCATGTTATTAAATTTTATTCTAAATATCAATCTCTAACCTAACTCTCGGAAGAGATTTAAGTATATTTCCATATTGAAATGTTATACTCATTAATGCAGAAACTGATAACGTTATTCTTGCAGGCAAGCTACGATAGTCAAGAAAAAACGGAATCCAACTCATAGCTACAGCCTTTAATTTTAAAAATTTAAATAAAATTTTTAAATTTATTATTTTAACTGTTTGGGCAGGAAAATACATTTGAAATAAATAAACACCAAATTGGCGAGTCAACAAGAAATTTACTGTTAACTAAAATTTTATTTAAATTTAAATTAAATATAAAATTATTAAATGCCTGATCCCATTTTCCTGCTGCGTATATAAAAGAATGCTTGGCCCAACGAATTTCGCTAAGCATAAAATCTGGTGGTTTAGTTCGTGAAGGATATTACTACTATCTCTCCCCTATTAAATTATCGATTGATTTATCGCTAATTTAATAGGGGAGGGGGCAGCTCGCAACCCAACCCGCCGCCCCCATTCCAACCCACAAGCTAAAGACTAGTGTTCGCGGGGGCGGACAAAAGATCACCATTTCAAAACGTCAACTGTCGAAATGCCAACGTTGAAAATGCCAAATTTCAAAATGGTAAAATGTCAAAATGCCCAGAATTAAAAATGGTCAATGGCCAAAATGGTAAATGGGCAAATCTAAACCTATCAGCCTTTTTTTTTTTGGTTGAAAAATTATTTTACCAGTGTGGGTATTGAACACCCAATATTTTTTCCAAGGCGGAAGCCTTACCAACTACGCCAACGGGCACCCTACTAACTAATCTGAAAAATTGAATATATTGCAGCTCCTTTTGTTTCCCTTTCAAGCGCACCTGTCAGCGACAGAGCAAAAGCGAATTTGGGTAAAACTTTGAATATCGCGATTATTCGTACCCAAAATATTCGTACCCAAAATATCGTACCCAATTATTCGTACCCAAAATATTCGTACCCAAAAATATTCGTACCCAAAATATTCGTACCTAATTATTCGTACCCAAAATATCGTACCCAATTATTCGTACCCAATTATTCGTACCCAAAATATTCGTACCCAATTATTCGTACCCGGAACATTCGTACCCAATTATTCGTACCCAATTATTCGTACCCAAAATATTCGTACACAAAATATTCGTACCCAGTTATTCGTACCCAAAATATCCGTACCCAATTATTAGTACCCAAAATTCGTAAAATGGCGGGGGCTCTGGGCGCAAGGGCAGTGAGGGCAATGTGTGGATGGTTGGGTGTAAGCAGAGGCGTTTTTCCTGCGGGCAGGGGTCTAAAACCCATAGTGCCAACACGTGGCCATTTACTCATCCAGAAGCAAGAGGAATTGCTAAGCGGGGGCAGCCGAGCAAAATGTTGAAAAAATGGTAAATCTTTTTTAAATCCGAGCAATTTGGGTAAATCTTTGAATATCGCGAAGTGGGGTCTGAGCAAGTTCATCGGCTTGTACTTGGGTAATATAACCATGGCTTCGTAAAAAACGAATCATAAAAACCCAGCAAACAATAATTATGGGTAATAAAAGGGTGTATTGCATTAATAAAATTAATAATCCGTATGTAATATTATTCTTAGGGGCGTTAACATATTCCTTATTTTCACGTAAATAATCATACGAGTTATTGGAGAAAGAATAAAGTAGAGATAAATTCTGCATTTTAAATAGAATTAATAGTATAGCTTTCCTATGTATTTAACCTAAATTCGAATCAGAAACTATATGGCGATTGTAGTCAATCATTAACATTTGGTCAAATTCACCCAAAACAATCATTTCAACACCCCCGGTAGGAATTGGGGTATTAAATTCAAGACGAATACTTGTGGTACCGCTTTTTAAAAGTTCAAACCCGCACGAATCATCAAGCGTCGAGGTTAGTGGAATCACAAAAAATGTCCAACCACTTTTAAATTTTTCCATCGAAATATCGATTGATCTATCGGAATTGGCCACGCCCAATGCTTCGTACAAGTCCACAAAAGCGCGAACAAAAAGATTATTTTTAAATTTCAATTTATATGCTACTAAAGGAAAGATATGCCCTCCAGTATGAACAGAAATATCTCTTAAATCATATGGCTGAAAATTAAACGGGGACAAGGCAAAGTCTCCATTGAAAGCTTTATTAGAAATTAAAGCAACAGTAATTCGGCGCGGAATGCTGGCGCTGAAAGCATTATATTCAATTTCAGTGCGTCCGGCAGTAAGAAATGTCGATTTTATTTCGGTTTTACGCACTGCATATGTGGCTGGTTTTGATTCTAAAGTTTTGTAAATATTCATGTTAAGGGAAGGCTGGACCTCAATCATTTTTACGAATAACTTCACGTCATGGACATAAAGTCTATACTGGCTCTCGTCTGTAGCATTCAACCTTTGTAAGGCAAATGAATTTTTTGATCGATAAATATTAAAGTTAACATCTAAATTATTAAGTAAAAACAATTCTTGGTTTCCCAAATCAAAATCTAAGCGCGATAGGAATTGTGTATGTTTCCCATTTGCAAACAGAGAGCATCTTTTTTGGAATCCAGAGTCAGTGCTATCATCATGTTTATCACACTTATAATATCCAATTGAAGCGAGGAAATTAGATTTGACATTGTCTGGGAATGAAAGTTCGTTTGTAATGTAGGCCTTAAAAGGATAAAGAGTACCACTGTCATAAACTTCAGTATTACCAACAGTCACTTTTAACTGCTGAACAAAAGTTAGACCGATACCTTGAATTGGGGCAATGCTAGTATCTGTAGCAACTATTGGACTCCATTTATTATCTGCGCCAAGTTTTTCAATAGAAAGTTCAAGGTATAGATACGTTCGAGATAAATCAGTCCATAGATTATCACTAAATAAACGAAATAGATACGGAGAATCTTGGGTAATTGTACTAAGGGGAAGAATTTCTCTAAAAAAAGACCGAACGACAGAAACATTTGTAGGAGGAACAGTGAATATACTAAGGGCGCTATTAAGAGCTAAAGGACTATTTTCATTAATCTTTTTAGTGCAGCTCATTTTAGTAAGTACCTAATGTGTCTACGCGAATTCGCTTTTTAATAGATTTTTTGCGCGTTCTTTGTAAAGATTTTGGAATGAAATTAGGAGGACCAATCGTAGAAAAAGGTCTCTTATTTATACTTTTCAAATGAACGTTTTGCTCTTCAGTATTCATCTGGCCAATAGCTGGATTCTTTTTTATATTTTTATAACGTTTAAAATCAAAACCAGTTCCTTTTTGTTTATCAATATTGTCTGCGGCCTTTTGAAGCAAGTTTTTTAATCCAGCTTTTCCCTCATCAACAAGTGATTCTTTAAGATCTTTTCCTTCTATAACATTACTTAAAACGCGATTGCTAGATTCTAAGCCTTGTCTAGCTAGAGTACTACCAATTTGCTTACCAAAAGGTATAAGATATCGCATGAAGCTTCTAAGGATCGACCCTAATCCATTTCCTCTTTGATATGGAATACCGCGGAAAACATTATAACCTCCCCATTGAAAATTATTATCAATCGATTGCTCGGTAAGAGTCGACCAATCAATATGCGCGGGATCAAAGTCAATATGCATTTTTCAAAATTAAAAATGTAAATTATTCTCAACTATTTATACTAAATATCTTATTTTTTATAAATTCAGAAACAAAATTATCAGCTTTTACTCCGTTTAAAAATTGAATTACTTTATTCATAGAGAATCCAATACATCTTTGAAACAAGAAAAATATTACGTGTTTCCCACAAGTATGTTTCAATGAGTTTTGTACCTGAACGGGATTGAAACGAACACGTTGAAATTTACTCAAATAATTTCTTATATGAGGACTAATTGGGGGCCATATACCCAATGAATCATAATAATCTATAGTAGAAGGATATTCACAAAATATTGCGACCCAGTGGCTACCAGCTGCACTACAGGGATCTATATTCACAACCATGCAAAAAGGTGTAAAATTAATTGAAACTGGAATTGTATCGGCTGCAAAACATCCAATATAAGAATCTTTTGTAATATTATTTCTATGTAAAATTTTATTTATCTGAAGACTATTCATAATATTTTAAAAATATGTTGACTTTTTAAAATGCAAAGTCAATGTACATGTTCCATACTGGAAGGGCATTAACGTTCCGCTAGAAGTCCTGATTTCAATAAAAATTTCATTAATCTCTTTTATTAACAATTTGTGATATTGAACAAAGAGAAATTGTTCTTCAATAATTTCATCTTGTTTTCCTCTAATATTTACTATTCTCAGTACAGGAGCGGTTACATCACCAATTATCATCGGTTCAATTAACCCGGGAGCATATACGTGAAACGAAGACACTCCACCTTTCATATCAGGCATAAATTTGGCAATAGATGTCTCAAACATTTCAAGCTTATCAAATCCTAAGATATAAGCTAGCTGCTCTGTCATTGTTACACTCTTTATAAAGCTTTTATTTAAAAATAAGGAGAAACGATTTTTCTTTTCGTAAAATTCAAAATTACACACAGAAACTGGCTTGAGATAAGCATGTTCCCAAGAATCAAAATCGCTTCCACTAGTTAATAAAAATTTTATTACACTGCCTACATTTTCATTCATCTTTGCTACTAAATCTGAATAAATTTCAGATTCAGTCTTTAATAGAATAGACTCAGCCGAATGTTCTTGTTTGGTCGTATTTTCATTCTTTTTTAATTCGCTAAGTTGTTTATACTCTTGCTTAGCTTGATTTTTAAGTTCTTTTAATTTATTAATATATTCAATATGTATTGCTTTCATTTTAGCCGATAAGTCTCTACAACTTTCTTCAAGTGATCTATTTAAATTTTCTTTCAGCTGCTGAGGATTCAAAAAGCTGGAAGATGATACATTTAAACGGACGCTCTCATTAGTTTGCCATGTCACAGTAAAAAATTGTTCGGATGTAGTGCCAAGAGATGGCCATGAATAAGGATAAACCATTACAGCCAAACCTACGGTCCATTCAGAATTAAATTGTAATTTCTGGGGCAAGCGAACTCTGAATGAATTTGTCTTATTACCCTCAACATTAGTGTTAGATGGAAGAACGATATAAAATGAAGTCATTTTAAATAAAAATTTTCTAAATCTACTTATTATTTATATATATTATCTCCAATTAACTGAGCTAGCAGGAATCCAGCTATTAAATCTCGAACCATACCCTTTCCATTTTACAAAATATTGATTTTCCCCATTAAATTTTTTCATTTTCAAAACCTTTTCTATATCATAAAGCACATCTTCCTTTTTACGTTCTCTAACTAAACACAAATCATTTGCATAAAACCAACCTCTAATTAATTCGCCCACTTTATCGGATAGTCTGTAAGTAGGGCGCTGGTGTGGAACTAGCCGCACCTGTTTAATAATAAAAATCTCATCTGTAAAATTTGGCAAGTATCCCTTTTGAAATACATGTTTATATTTTTCTATCCTAACTTTATCGCCAACTGAAAAATCAGTATGCTTCCAACGTTTTGGAGCAACTTCCTCTCGCGCTTGCTCTTTTAATTTTAGTCTTAAACCTTCTGCGTTTTTATAGGTAACATCAATAGGTCGCATGCCAATACTCGAATTAAAAGAATTATTTATTGCGCTAACAATATCTTGAACAACGTCTACCCATTTTAATGTTCGTTTTTCAGTAAAATAACGATAAAGTCTTTCTTTTATGCTACGATTAGCTCTTTCTGCCATGCCAGCGTGCCATTGAGGGGATGTGACCATGGAAAAATGTTCCATATCTATAGATTTAAAATATTTTTGGACTTCTTTTGCTGTAAACTCTAGTCCCTGGTCTGTAAGTAATTTCCAGGGAACAATTTTTATTCTTGAAAATAATCGTTTAAAGGCTTCAATCATTTTGTCGCTATGTTTACTTTTAACGGGCTCAACAAATATCATTCTGCTAAGCGTGTCAATGCAGACGAGAAGATATTTAAAGCCTTTATTCTGACTGCTTAAACGATCAAAAATACTCAAATCAGCTTGCCATTCGGTATGTAAGCCAGCTGCGAGGGTGCGCATTCGTTTATATTTCCTAACTGCGCGCCTATGCAAGGTGTAAGTATTCTGAGTCGAAAGATATTTCTTGACAGCATCACGAGTAATACTTTTGTCTACACGTCTTGCTTCCCTAAGGAGGGGTTCAAGAGACGTAAAACATGTTGATGAATTTATATCTTTATATAAACGATCCAAAATGCTTATTTGTTTTATCGATAATTTTTCCATAACACGGGTTTAAATGAAAAAACTCCGCTACCAGTTTGAGTTGAAGACGTACCTGGAGGAAATAGTAAGTTTTTTAAAAATGTATGTTTATCAATTCTGCGAATAAATTCGTCGTAACCTGTGGGTAATGGCTTTATTCGATCCCCATTATTTTTAATTATATAATTTATAATTTCTTCAACATCACTTGTAATAAATGGATAATTACCTCCTAATTTCCTTGCCAGTCTTAAGTCAGGTGTTATACCTAATGATTCAGAGTTTTCTTTAATATATTTTAGAGCCTTTTCGCTTAAATCTAATTCATATGCATTTTTACCCTCCTCATCGTCAGCTGAGAAAAATTCAGGCTCGTCAACTTTAATGTTTTTATCGACAAAAGGCTTGGAAGGTTTTTTAACAACCTTTGCAATAGATTTTCTATTCAAATTTTTAATCTGGACTGTTTTCTTTAACTTATTAACATTAATATTTTGTGGCGGTTTTAAAACTTTTTCATTATAATTATTTAATATTTTCTCAGAAATTTCTCCAATATTCTTAAGTTTAACATCAATAGGTTTTTCTTCTTTTTCTCTAACAAGTTTATTATATCTTTTAAAGTCCTGTTCATAATTAATAGCTTGTGTATCAGGATCTAATTTAGAATTATCTCTAGCATTTTGTAGGCGTTCGCGAATTAAACCAAGTGATGTTCCATCATTACCACTACTACTATTAGTCTGTTCCTCAAGTCTTTCTGAACTAATTAAACTTTTAAAAAAATCTTCTGGTATAAAAAGCATTCGAGATGCGTGACGCATTTTTGAAATTAATTAAATTTGCAAAAATGTCTTATTTATTTATATTTTTATTTAACAAAATTCTCAGCGATTAAGGGAACAATAAGACTAGCAAGAAGACCCGCCACTGGTGGGAAACCACGACCATTTTGAATTTTATCGCAGAGTAGTAGGCGCTTAGCCGAAGAAGCGCTTCGCGAGCGACTAATTTTACGTAATAATGATGCTTGGTTTTGTAGATTTTGTATTCTGTTTTTATGAAACGGAAGCCTCCCTTTTAATAAATTCAAGCAAATTTCAACTAGACATAGTAATTGTTCGTCAGAAGCGCTTGAAATAATTTTATTAACTGCATTTTTTGATTTTGAGCAAGTCAATAAATTATTTAGAAAGATTACGTTTTTTTCGATTAAAAAACTAGTTGGAAAAATTTTATTTTTCATTTTGGAAGATAAATAATTGTATTTTCGTTTGGATATATATGTGTTCTCAGTCGAAGGACTTCAGGAGTGCTTGGATGAATATCAACCAACAGATAACCAAAGTTCTCTTTTGTTGCATCCCCATAGGCTTCTAAAAAATATTTTGAGCGCGAAGGGAAAATTTGCATGGCAAGTGTTCTAATTTGTAACGCTCCCGCGGGGTTTCTCATTAATAATAAATAGTGAGAATTATTACGAGGAATTTTAAGTTCTTTCGAAAATAAGTGCTGACTAATTAGAATTACACTCATCTTCCAATTATGGGACCCCCTTGTAAATATTGTTTCAATAAGACGCTGATCTATCCCAACCATTAAATCATCTAGTACCAATAGCATAGAACCCTCTGATTGAATTGCTTGCTTATGAATAAAGTCCTCTCCCACACTTGGCACCCCATTATGAACAATGACCCGTGTTTTTCCTTTATCAACATATCCTTTTCTTTGCATTAGTAAAATATTTTTATTTAATTCCCCATAACAATAGAAAACAAGCGAAATATCTGTATCAGCATTAATCAACTCTGTTAAATTGTCTAAAATTTTTTTAACCCATTCTGATTTACCAGACCCAGTACTCCCCGAAACTATCATTGTAAAAGGGTGCTTGAATCGTGTATGTAAATAATCAATTTTTTCGAATCCTTCCATTTTATTTGCTATAGTAAATTAAAAAATTTAGATTCTAATATTCTTCATTATATATATATTATTATTACTTTTTCTTTTATTCTTTTTACAAAAAAAAAAAATGAATTTTAATTCCTTCAACACATTCGGCCATTGGGGTGTATTCGAAACACAGGAAGAAAAGCAAATACGCGAACAACAGGAGAAGGAACAACAACAACGTGAATCACAGCAACAAGAAACAGAATCGTATGAACATACTTCAAAAAATAGGGAAATGGAAAATGTAATTAATTTTTCTTTGTCTAACTACTTTCTATTTAGAATGAAATTGATCTCTTGGTCACCTCGCTTGGATTAGCCTCTCTGGTTAATGAAATTGGTGAAGATAAAAACAAGGAGGATGTTTTGAAATCTAACGACGAAAAAATACTAGAGATAGTACTAGAAAGCGATGAAGAAAATGAAAAAGAAAGTATTGATCCAACAAATTTATCAGAAAAAAAGGAAGAAAAGGAAAAAGACGTTAAGAAGGATGAAAACTCTTTTATCGAGCCAGAACCAGTTGAAATAGAAAACCCGTTACCATTATCAATTTTGAAACGTCGCTCAGTGCCTTTGATTGATTATCTATGTCAACTACACAACTGTGCATTCAAAGAGCTTCATGTACTATTCTATAACATCGAAAAACGCCGAGAAATAATTTTACACTTACAAAATCAAGTTCAACTACGTACATCCCATTTGCTTCCTTATAAAAATTTTGTTATTCGGTGCAACGATTTTACTGTCCACCCAGCAAGTATTGTTCCTGCTATGGGCGGTTATTTGAATATAACGGTAATAGTTTAAAAATTAAAAAAATAATAAAATGTAAATTGAGGTACGTGGGTACTACTATGTAAAACATGGCATCAAATTACGCCACCCATACTTGCCATGCTTAATTGAATTTGGAGGAGGACATCATCGTTCTTACTACCCGCTCGAAGTTATTTGTGTTTCTAAGAATAGTAAACAGATGAAAAAATGCTAATAATAATATTTTTAATATAAATTATATTTTTAATATAAATTATATTTTTAATATAAATTATATTTTATTTATTTATCTTGTATTCTTATTATAATTCTTTTTTTATTTTTATTTCAGAAAGTAAATATGAATATCGAAAATTGTACATGTGTTTTTAGGCTTTTACCTGGTATTCAAAGATTTTCATCAGAAAATTTTCTCAAAATGGCTAGAAACGGCATAAATACTGAATATAATCCTAAACGATTCCACTCAATAATAATGCGTATTCGACATAAACATAACAGGACAACAGCAGCATTAATTTTTCAGTCTAGTAAAGTGGTGCTAACAGGTGTTCCCAACGTTAAGTTAGCTAGAAGAATGGCTTTAATAGTGTTAAAAAGAATAGAATTTTCGATAAAAGAAGCAAATATACAAAAATTTTCAAAACTTGGAATCATAAGCCTTAAAGTTACAAATATTGTCAGCTCATATCGAAGTATGAACCGAGTTGCCATTGAATTGATATATCAGAAATTTAGAAAGCGACATAAATATGACAAATTATTTGAAAAAATAACAAAAGTTTCCTATGATCCCACAATATTTCCAGCACTTAGATTCAAGATGAAAGACGACAAGTTTATAAGAGAAGCTTCATGTCTTATCTACATATCTGGGCGTGTTATATTAACCGGAATAACTTCTACTAAACAGGTCGAATATTTATTCGATAACATAATTTTACCCCTACTTGTAAAATTTCCAAGATTGTAATAAAAAATATTTATATTGAAAAAATAAATTCTAATATAATATCAATGAAAATAAAATTAAAAAAATAAAAAATTTATCTATATCGTCTTAAATAATCCACATCAGTCCAATTCGAAGAACCAGGAATAGCTTGTAAATCCAAAATGGGATGTTGTTGGTATTGTTGTTGTCGTTGGTGAACTTGAACATGTGGTTGCTGAATTATTTGATCCTAAACATAATTTTATAGAAAATTTTATATTTTTAATAAAAAATAGAAAATTTATTTTTGAAGCTAATTTAATACCTCTTGTTGTTGTTGTTCCAAAACATTTCCGTGCCCAAATGGTAGCGTTTCCATATTTGGCCGAATCCTTCCTTTTTCAAAACAAACTCTGTAGTCCTTCTTAGCCATTATTGTATAAAGATCAGAACGTGTTGTTCGTCCAATTTGAGGAAATTCTACACTAATTATGTTGTTAGAATCCAATATACAATTTTCAGAAGCCATATCATCACTAAAATTTATTGTTATTATTTTTTTTATATTTATAAATTACATTTCCCCATCAATATTGAATTGACATATAACAAGTTCTTTCATTGTTTGAAAATTTAGCAGCTGGTGTGTTGCATAGGAAAGTGGAAAAGATCTTATTTTTAGTTCGGCCCTTTCATCCCTCTCAGTGGCCTCATCAACATGTCGAAATCCATAATTTTTTGGACCGCCAGAAACAAATTCAATTATTTTCCTTCCAAGATGTTCTCGCTTCATTTGACCCAAAGCTTCCCCTTCGCCGACAAAATTGCCCCCACATTTTTTGACATAGAATATGGAGTCGGTGTCACAGTACAATAGCTGTCCATTAATTTGCTTAACTTCCTCCATATATTTGTATAGATGTAGTCGTGCGTATGATGTTACAAATGCAGCCACGTGAAGACAATTAGTGTCGGGTGGTTTGGCGAATTCTTCCATTTTGCGCACCACACACCGGTCCATATGTTCGCTCACATGCTCAAAATCAAGGGTTTCGAGCGTTGGGTCCTCCAACAATTGATGGAATTCTTCAGGTGTTGTTGCATACTTAACTTCGGTTGTGCCAACTCGTTGAGCCAGTTTTCCCCACAAAGAATTTGCCAATATTTTCTAAAAATATATTTTTCATTTAAAAATTTTTTATTCCCCACCGCAATCATTCGAAGTCCAGGATTTAATTCCACTTTTGCTGGGTCCATTCGAATTCCTTCAATTCGATCAAATTCGGCAATGTAACGATCGCGAGCCTCTTGTGAATCGCAGTTCTCGGGCCACCCGCTAGCTTGTTGTTTAAGGCCAACAAAAGTATTAACATATCCTTTAAACAGTTCAGGGTCCCAGCGATCATAATTCCACACCTAAAAGATTAGGGTTAAAAATAATATAGCGAAATCAAGAAAAAAATAACCTCGTAAATATCTAAAATCTGGTAACCCAACTCTAGCGCCTTATTCAACTCCACATGGGTGTAGCCACTAATCCAAGATCTTTGCTTCATTGAATGACGACATTGTTGTTGTTGTTTGTTATCCGCACACGAAGAACACAGAGGAAAAGTCAGACGACCATCATGTGTTCTATACCCAAGAAGTGGAGGAAGGCCATTCATTGATGTTGGTGGTAGAACACGGACTAATAAAAGCCCCTTATATCTATTGTGGCGGGGGTGAGTCCATGGTAGAACAGCATTAGGTGGTTGCGTAAGAGCTTCTCTTGTCAAAACATCGGGATATCCAATTGGGAACTCTCTTGCCTTCATCACATATGGATATAGACTGACCTTAAATTTATTCAAAAATTTAAAATTAATTTTAAAAATTACTATATCAATATAGATTATCTCCTCATCAGATTTACAAATGTGGTGAAGTTTGAAAGGCTCAGTCCTTCCCCCTCTAAGACAATCCTTCCGAGGGTCCATCGGGCGTACAACATCAATTTCATTCCATGTTCGCTTTAGTTGTTGATTAAAGCGTAGCCTTTCCTTCATCTCATGTCCCCACACGACGTGTAAAGAATATCCCTGTTGTTCAAGTTCATAGAGGCGCGATTGAGTGCGCTCGTACAGTTCTTCAGCAGTGCGACCACCAGCTAGTCTCTGATCGCGTATCGGGAAGCATTGAGGACAACCTGTAGAAAAAAAATATTTAAAAAAAATTTTACTAATGCAAATAAATATTACCATGGTAGTAGCACCCATTATATTCAATTGCAAGAGGTCTTAAAGGCGGAATTCTATACCAAAGTCCATCAAGACGATAGCCACAATCTTCAACATTAGCTTCACCAATAGACCAGTGGGCACCCCGCACTTTTCCTTCAGCTTCTTTATTTTCCAGTTCAAATAATTTAATATAGCGCTGCGACTCGGCAGAAGCTCTTCTTCCACGCAGAAAGCCACCTTCTGGAGAATGTACAAGCCAATTTTCAGGTAGAAAACAACGTCGCATTGTTGTTAGTGCGAGTCCTGCTGCGGTGGAAGCAGCCAAGAATGGATCAATTCCCTCGGTGTTTTCTCCAATGAGATGGCGAAATCGTAGAACACTCTCCCGAAGGATTGCAACGTCGTTTGCACAATAAATCACAAGTTGTTCTCGGAGCTGGAAATTTGTTGTTGGTATGTTCGATTGTTGTTGATGCCATTCAAGTAGTTTGGCTCGTTTCTCCGGTTTTTTAAAGTCTGGTTGGTAGTACTCAAGTGCTGGGAGCCCTTGAATTCTCAAATGCAGGTGTTGTCGCATTATATAAAGGTAGGGAAAAAATGGTTTAGAAGTAGCAACATCCTCAGGTAGAGAAAATACTTTAGTAAGAGCGTCAAGTTCGCAGATGAAAAAATTGAGCGAATCTTTAAAAAGTATTTTCCTCTGTCGATTGCCCCCAATTCTCATTGAGTAGATCTTCAGTCCGGTTGTACAGAGACTTTTTGGTGGTAAATTTCTTCTATGGAGCGCTTCAAGAATTAGGTGGAAGTCATATTTGCCCCCATTGTGGGCGATACACACAGTTAACATTTGTTGAGAGCCATACTAAATTACTTTTTTCAATAAAAATAAAAATTTAAAAAGCACCGATAGAAGATAATCCAAAAATTGATCCACAGGATTTTCTGCTTCGCTATCAAAGCTATGAAAATACATTCGTCGAGGATTATAGGCAGGAGTCTCAGGCAAATTGGTGTTGTCCCCAGGTGCATTTCTAAAGGGTGGTGAGCACCAACGTTGCCATCTTCTTCCTCTTGGGACACCACAGAAACATCCAGTTGCTCGTTGACCAATATCTTCAATTCCAATTCCCGCAGCAATACATTTTTCGCAAAGAATCTCAGCAATAATCAACAAAGGGACGTGTTTATACCCCGCATTGTTCACACCAACAGCCATTGGATGTTCTTGAGACGTTTCTGCGTCAAAAAAACAAAACCTCACTGGAAATTTTGACTCCCTACGTCTCTGTTGTTGTTGTTCTGGGTGTTGGGTTTGCTCATTTTCGTTTTCAGCTATTAAAAAATTTTTTTCATATTAAAAGTTAAAAAAATACCTGTAGAAGATTCAAAAATATTTTCTTCTTCCCCTCGCGCAATTGTAGAATGTTCAATAGCCTTGAGTGGTTGAATAAAACATGGGTGTTCTGATAGGTGAGGGCCTCGACATTTGGCACAGTCGCTCAATTGCCCATTCAATGTTCGTTGGTGTTGACGTTGTTGTTGTTCTTCAACACAGTTATGAAGTTGTTGTTGTTGTTGACCAAATATAATGCGATTACAGCGGGAACAAATTCTCCGAGATTGACAAATTGATGCAAAAGGTCGTGTTCTTGGGTTTTCAATCTCCGCAGGAACTTGATTAGTTAAGTGGTGTTCATAGCACCCGCGCTGTGGGAAGACAAAACCACAATCGTTGCATGGAATTCTTTCAATCAATTGACATGGAAAATTTGCTCCATAACGCATACAAAGACGACAGATAACTGTACAACCAGCCCAATGGTGCAACCGTGTAACACACCTTTCACAATCTATGCAGAAACGATGGGCATGGAAAAGTTGTTCAGGTCTCTCCATATAATTATAATGCCCATTTTCCAACAAAATACAGATGTTAAAACGTGCAGCACGGCCCTCGCCTAATTAACAAATTATTTAAATATTAAGTATATTCAATAATAATAATAATACCTTTAAAAACAATTTTATATTGCTGCTCCTTTTCAAAAATAACAATTCTTATTTGATCTTCGCCTCCCACATTTTCATTAATATAACGCTGCAACGCGGGGACATGGTTGAGTGAATATTTATTTAAATTCATCGGAAGACCAGAATTTTGCATTAGCTCGATTACATCATTTAAATGCTCCTCCTGTTGTCGACAAAAAGCTCGAAAATGATGTTTCTGTTGTTGAGGGGAGACTCCTCTTACATTTAAATCAATTAAATTGATCCTTGTAAGTCCAATGTAAACAGAGCGAGCAAGACAAAACCTATCATTTGGGTTGATAACTTTGACAATGGAGCGACATTTTGATGTTATAACATGCTCTTGATCAATATTACATCCACCTTGAATAACAGAATAGCCTTACATAATTATTTAAATATGTAAAAAACAAAACTGTTACCCACCTCTATGATCTTCTGGATTCGAAGTGCGTTGAGAATTGAGCGGCCATACTGCTATTACTTTAGTAGTAGTAGTACCTTGCAAGAGATCTATGCCCGCCTGACTAATCTCATTCAATCTTTCAATAGCTGCCGCCAAGGCCCCCGCATTGTTTTGAGCTGGAGGGCGAAGCGGGACAGTGAACGGATTATGAAATGCTGGAGGATGAAGTTGAAGACCAATGAGACTTGGTTCAGGGCGATCAGCTAAAACACGTTCCAGAAGATGAGAAATAAGTGTTGTTAAGGTTAAGTCCGGCCTAGCTTGGTCTTCAAAAGGCGTGAACCTAACGTTGCATATTTCGCCGAATGTATTTCGCGACCTTGATCTAAGTTCGCTGACAGATTCAATAATAAAAGGATTATTCATTTGATGAAGATTTTGCTGTTGCTGATGTTGTTGTGCTGAATTAATTATCTGAAATAAATGTTAATTAGTGTATACCCTGTTTTATTCATAAGGTTAAGCGAAGGATTTGGATTTTTTTCAATGTAAGTGTTTATTTTAGTTTTATTACATTAATTACTATTATGATTTATTTGAATATTTTAAAATTAATTATATTAAATTATTTAATTTACATTTATTTTGATTTTATTACACTACGTATTATTGTAATTTAATTGCATATTTTTAAATTAATTTAATAACATTACTTAACTTTATTTAAATTACATTTATTTTTATTTTATGAAATTAATTATTAGTATAATTATTGTTAATGCATTTAAATTAAAATATTTTTAATTTTATCACATTAATTATTATAATAATTTATTTGAATATTTTTAAATTAATTGAATTAAATTAATTTTTAATTAAATTAATTAACATAGTTGAATTATTGAATTAAATAAATTGAATTAAATAAAAATAATAGCATTTATTTTACTTTTATTACATTAATTATACAATTAATTGAATTACATTAATTAAATTTATTTAAATTACATTTAGTTATATTTTTTAAAATTACTTATTAGTATAATTATTATTATTTATTTGAATATTTAAAATTAATTGAATTAAATTATTTGAATTACATTTATATTAATTTTATTACATTAATTATTATAATAATTTATTTGAATATTTTTAAATTAATTGAATTAAATTAATTTTTAATTAAATTTAATTAATTAAAATAAGTAATTATTGAATTAAATAAATTGAATTAATTTAAAATAAATTGCACTTATTTTAATTTTATTACATTAATTATACAATTAATAGAATTAAATTAATTAAATTTATTTAAATTACATTTAGTTATATTTTTTAAAATTACTCATTAGTATAATTATTATTAATTCATTTACATTAAAATTCTTTAATTTTATTACATTAATTATTATTATAATTTATTTGAATATTTTAAAATTAATTGAGTTAAATTTATTAGAATTACATTTAGTTATATTATATTAAATTACTTATTAGTATAATTATTATTATTTATTTGAATATTTAAAATTAATTGAATTAAATTATTTAAATTACATTTATATTAAATTTATTACATTAATTATTATAATAATTTATTTGAATATTTTTAAATTAATTGAATTAAATTAATTTTTAATTAAATTTAATTAATTAAAATAATTAATTATTGAATTAAATAAATTGAATTAAATTAAAATAAATTGCACTTATTTTAATTTTACTACATTAATTATACAATTAATAGAATTAAATTAATTAAATTTATTTAAATTACATTTAGTTATATTTTTTAAAATTACTCATTAGTATAATTAATATTAATTCAGTTAAATTAAAATTCTTTTAATTTTATTACATTAATTATTATTATAATTTATTTGAATATTTTAAAATTAATTGAATTAAATTATTTAAATTACATTTATTTTAATTTTATTACATTAATTATACAATTATTGCTTTACATTAATTAAGTTTATTTAAATTATATTTCTTTTAATTTTATCACATTAATTATAAAATTAAATTAATTAAATTTATTAAAATTACATTTAGTTATATTATATTAATTTACTTATTAGTATAATTATTGTTAATTCATTTACATTAAAATTCTTTTAATTTTATTACATTAATTATTATTATTTATTTGAATATTTAAAATTAATTGAATTAAGTTATTTAAATTAGATTTATTTTAATTTTATTACATTAATTATACAAATAATTGATTAAGTTAATTTAATTTATTTAAATTAAATTAATTTTTATTTTTTTTAAATTAATTATTAGTAAAATTATTGTTAATTCACTTAAATTATAATTATTTTAATTTTATTACATTAATTATTATTATAATTTATTTGAATATATTAACATTAATTTACTTAAATTATTTACATTACAATTTTGCTTTTATTACATTAATTATAATTTAATTAATTACATTACATTTATTTTATTTTAACTTTATTACATTGATTATACAATTAATTGCTTTAAATGAATTATTAGTATAATTATTGTTAATTCATTTACATTAAAATTAGTTTAATTTTATTACATTAACTATTATTATAATTTATTTGATATTTTAAAGTTAATTAATTAAATTAAAATTACATTAAAATTATTTTAATTTTATTACATTAATTATTATTATAATTTATTTGAATATTTTGAAATTAATTAATTAAATTAAAATTACATTTATTTTAATTTTATTAGATTAACTATACAATTAATTGGATTAAATTAATTAAATTTATTTACATTACATTTCTTTTAATTGTATTACATTAATTATTATTATAATTTATTTGTTATTTTAAAATTAATTGAATTAAATTATTTAAATTACATTATTTTTAATTTTATTACATTAATTATACAATTAATTGATCAAATTAATTAAATTTAGTTAAATTACATTTATTTTAATTTTATTAAATTAATTATTAGTAAATTATTGTTAATTCGCTTAAATTAAAATAATTTTAATTTTATTACATGAATTATTATTATTATTACTTATTTGAATATTTTTACATTAATTGAATTACATTATTTCAATTACAGTTATTTTACTTTTATTACATTAATTATTAATATAATTATTGTTTACTTTATTTAAATTCAATTTTATTAGAATTTTATTGCTTCTATTATTTGCAGTATAGTTTATTTAATATAAATTATTTAACTAAATGAATTTATTTAAAATTAATTAAATTAATTGAGTTAAATGAAATTTATTAACTTAAATTAAAATAATTGCAATTATTAAATTAATTATTACTATATCTGTTTAAAAAATATTTTACAATTAAATGAATTAAATTAAAATAATTATTAAATTTATTTTAACATAAAAGTTAAATTACAAATTACAATTAAAAAATCAATTTTTTTCTTAATAAATATTTAAAAACATCTCCTTTCTTTTTTTAATTAAAATTCACGCATATTCCTAAATCTCAAATTTAATAAAATATAAAAATAATTTACAATTTTTTTTTTGAAAAAATAAATCTACCCCTTGACTAGATCCACGAGCGCCCACGCTGGGATTTACATTTCTATTTGCACGACCCTTTAAAAATTTTATTTTAAGCGATTAATTGAAAAATGGATGTACCCCACGCGATGAACCACTTGTTCCCGGATTTCCAATAACATCGTTCATAACTAGTTGGTTCTATAAAAAATTAGCTAAATTTTGTTTAATTTATGCAAATTATACCCCTCGAGCTGATGATGATCCAATAACCGGAAGTCCTGCGCCCACGCTTTCATTCATATTGGGCATAGCATTTCCCATGTTATTGTTAGCAGCTATTCCGAAATTATTATTATTGCTTATAATTTCGCTGTTGTTTCCATTTGCGTCCTGCAGTGGAGTAATTGGCATTGCATTGCCAATAATTTGCATAGTACTGGACCTCGAAAATCTCAAAACATAAGGAAGCGATCCAGTCCAATTATTGCGAGCCCCCGTTTGTTCTACAATTGTTAACATAGAAAGCCGAATTATCTAAAAGTTTATAATAATAATTAAAATGTTTTTAAAAAATTACATTATTTTGCTGAGCAGGTTCTAAAATTTGCGCACCACCATCGTAACCATAAATCCCAATAGCTTGAAGATCATTTGTGGAGCCCACCTCCAGCAGCAAATCCGCCCTATCGAAAGCCCTCCGCATTGTAGGTCCTCTATGGGAATAGGTGACACGACCTGTTAAGCTACTAAACAAAAATTAAAAAAAAAAGTAAAATGTGTCAAACTCGAACAGATGATTCGCGCGCCAACCGCAGAATAGGTAGTTACTAGACGTATAAAGAGTTGTTGGGTCCAAATTTGGAATTTGCAGAGCTGCTGCGGGAACTGCCACCGCCGTTGCTCTAGCCCTTTCAGCTCTAATGATTCCTTCAATCTAAAATTATTTCCGAATTTTACTTTAGTTCACAAAAATATTTTAAATTTTACATTTGAAGGTAAGAAATTTGTAAAATAACTTAGAGTTAAATTTAATAATTAATTAAAAAATTACATCAAGCCCCACGCTGTTATTGTCATTGTTGACAATGTCCATTCGTTGCCTTCGGGCTTGTGGCTCACCGTCCTGGGCATTTGGAGTTGTTGTTGAAGTTCTACGACTCATTATTATTATTGAACTGGAATTAAAATTAATAAATATTTTTTAAAATAAATATTTTAAATTAGAACCAATAGGGGGGATTATAATAGGTTTTTAAAAATTAATAAAGAATTTTTTAAAATTAAAGAATTTTTAAAATTTAAAATTAAAAGATTTTTTATAATAATTAAAAGATTTTTTAAATAAAGAAAACGAAAAACTAAATTTTATGTTAAAAAAATTTTTAAATTAAAAAATTTTAGATTAACAAAATTTTAGATTAAAAAATTTTAGATTAAAAAATTTAACAAACTAATATTTTAAAATAAAATAAAATTAATCCAATCCAAGAGAAAAAAATGTTTAATGATTACATAATCTTATAAATAAATTGCTCATTTAAAAATGAAAAGAGATATTTTTACATAAAAATAAACTTAGCTTTACAAAAAAATAGAGCGCGGGCAACCTAGCTCTACATCTTTGCCCCCGCTCTGTTTAACCACGTCCCTTTTGTTTAGTAAAAAAACTTTTAAAATTGTTTAGCTAATTAAAAGATAATATCAGCAAAACATATAGTTTAGGAAAAATTTTTTATATGGATGCAAAAAAAAGTTTATTGACTAATTAAATTGTTTAAGTTTTGTATTTCGTTTGGTAAATATTCTGATTTAGAAATTTCGAAATAAACTTCTGATTTTTTACAATTAATAAAGAAAACAAAAAAACAAAATTTTATATTAAAAAATTTTTATTAAAAAATTTTAGATTAAAAATTTTTAGATTAAAAAATTTTAGATTAAAAAATTTCAGCTTAAAAAAGATTTAACAAATTAATATTTTAATTAAAATAAAATTAATCCAATCCAAGAGAAAAAAATTTTTAATGATTAACTAATCTAATAAATAAATTGCTCATTTAAAAATAAAAAGAAATATTTTTACTTAAAAATAAACTTAGCTATACAAAAAATAGAGCGGGGCAACTTAGCTCTACCATTTTGCCCCCGCTTTGTTTAACAACGTCCCTTTTGTTTAGGTAAAAAAAACTTTTAAAATTGTTTTGCTAATTAAAAGATAATATCAGCAAAACACATAGTTTAGGACAAATTTTTTATATGGGTGCAAATAAAGTTTATTGACTAATTAAATTTTTTAGGTTTTGGTTTACCTTTTGATAAATAATTGATTTCGAAATTACCAAGAAAATACTGATTTTTTGAAATTAATAAAGAAAACAAAAATTTCTTCTTGCTTCTGGATGAGTAAATGGCCACGTGTTGGCACTATGGGTTTTAGACCCCTGCCCGCAGGAAAAACGCCTCTGCTTACACCCAACCATCCACACATTGCCCTCACTGCCCTTGCGCCCAGAGCCCCCGCCATTTTACGAATTTTGGGTACTAATAATTGGGTACGGATATTTTGGGTACGAATAACTGGGTACGAATATTTTGTGTACGAATATTTTGGGTACGAATAATTGGGTACGAATAATTGGGTACGAATGTTCTGGGTACGAATAATTGGGTACGAATATTTTGGGTACGAATAATTGGGTACGAATAATTGGGTACGATATTTTGGGTACGAATAATTAGGTACGAATATTTTGGGTACGAATATTTTTGGGTACGAATATTTTGGGTACGAATAATTGGGTACGATATTTTGGGTACGAATATTTTGGGTACGAATAATCGCGATATTCAAAGTTTTACCCAAATTCGCTTTTGCTCTGTCGCTGACAGGTGCGCTTGAAAGGGAAACAAAAGGAGCTGCAATATATTCAATTTTTCAGATTAGTTAGTAGGGTGCCCGTTGGCGTAGTTGGTAAGGCTTCCGCCTTGGAAAAAATATTGGGTGTTCAATACCCACACTGGTAAAATAATTTTTCAACCAAAAAAAAAAGGCTGATAGGTTTAGATTTGCCCATTTACCATTTTGGCCATTGACCATTTTTAATTCTGGGCATTTTGACATTTTACCATTTTGAAATTTGGCATTTTCAACGTTGGCATTTCGACAGTTGACGTTTTGAAATGGTGATCTTTTGTCCGCCCCCGCGAACACTAGTCTTTAGCTTGTGGGTTGGAATGGGGGCGGCGGGTTGGGTTGCGAGCTGCCCCCTCCCCTATTAAATTAGCGATAAATCAATCGATAATTTAATAGGGGAGAGATAGTAGTGATATTCGAAAACCTTAATATTTTTATTTTAAAAAATAATTTTAATTTTACAGGATTCCAATCACGCCACATTAAACGAACGTTAGCAGCATTATAAGCATAGCTTTCAAGGACTAGTTCACATTCTTCTTCGTTAAAGGGATAAAGCCATAAATCAACGTAACAAGGGCCTTTTTGACATAAATAAAAATTTAATTAAAATAATTAGAACCTTCAACCCTAAGACGGTAGTTCATCCAAACAGTTCCATTTGGATATATTAAGACAAAAGTATTTGGAGATGGGGAAACATGAAGTTCCGATTTTTTGCTGTTCTATATATAAAGTTAAAATCATAAATTATTTATGTGTTTTTATTATTAATTTTAGTTAAAATGCCTTCTAATAAAACGATGTAGCTATCTATTCTATAACAGGGAAAATAATTTCTCAGAGTGTGCTATATTTTAGGAATTATTTAATTTTAAGATGTAGATTATCTTAGTTAAGCTGGAAAATCTTGTTTCCTTATATGTGAAAATTTTAAAAATTCACCACAAAGCAAACAAACGGCTGCCAAAATCTTTCAACAATTACCGAACTTAATGTCATATTTTCAATACAATTTCCTAAATGTGTATAACGCAATCGACGATCCAACCATATTTGGCTCATTAAAACATCCGCCGTAAAACTTGCACTTGAAATTTAACTTTTACTATTTAATTCTATTTAAATTATACAAATTACCTTAATTCACTGACATCATAGAATGTCTTAAATTTAAAATTTGTTTTAAAATTTTGTCATTATTATTTACCTGAAGAGCTAATTCAATAGAAACATTAACACCTAATGGGTCAGGCGTTAAATGTTTATCATATAAATCATCTCGAAAAATATTATTTAAAATTTGAGAGGATTGCAAAGCAATTAGTTCAGGTGTGCATTCTGTGTTCAAATAATAAATTTTTTAAATTCTTTATTTATTGTAATAATGATTTACCTAGAGCATTTAAAACGCTTAGGTGGGGGTTAAACGAACTCAAAGGATAAAAGAGAAAGCATTAGTCGTCGCCGTGGTAGCTCAGTGAAAGAGCTCCTGTACGTGGTAACTACAAGGAGGTCGCAGGTGAATCCTGCCCGGTGGCACTCTTACAAAACTCATTCTTTATTGTTACGACCCCGGTTACGTAGAGGAAGCTAACAGAAACGTTTATTGCACAAAGAAATACAAAGCAGGCGAAGGTTGGGGTATGAAGAAGAACTAAAACTGAGACCGAGAACTAACTATTGGCTGGGCTTTTATACTAAACACTTTAAGGGCTGACGCCCATACACAACACCTCCCCCCTTAAAAAAAAAGGTTCGGCTTCACTTAAAGCCGAAGCTTTACAATATACTAACACTTTCCAGCCAAACAACAAACAAAAAATACATACAATAATTTTGGGGGAATAAGGACAATGGGAACAAAAAATACATACAACATTACAAAAAAAATACAACAATAATATTATCACAAAATTTTATATATGTGGCTCATCTACATCTCCATATTTTTATCGTCTTCAACATCTTTCATCTTTTGATTGTTCCCGCTTTTGTCCTTCATCTTTGACTTGATCCTCTTGGAGTTGTCCACACTGCTATCACTGGATGAAGTTACACTACTTTCACTAGACACTTTTTCTTCACTAATATTCATATTCCGAATATCTTCACTCAACAATTTCTTTTTATTGTTCCACTCATCTCGACGGATCTCTTTAAATGTCCTGGTCACAATACACTTCAACACTGCCACTTTGATTTTCCAGGCATTTTCCGTCTTTCTCACTATATCTCCATGAAGCCACTCGATTTTACCACTTCTTTTATTGGTATTCTTCACTTTCACTTTTGTGCCGTTCGGAAAAGCATTTATCTTGAATGGTGCCTTCTTTTTACTCCACTTTTGGTACTTGGGCTTTTGGTTCCGACTTGACACTTCTTTCAATCCAGGCAACCCTAAGATACACACTTCACTATTCACTAGATGAAACTCCATAAAGACGTCTTTGTCTTTCACTCTCACTTTGCTTCTGAATTTTCCTTCAATTTCAACTTTGTTGTCACCCAGCCCAACACCACTGTAATTCACTTTTTCAATTGTTGGCTGTCCAATACTTTTCCACACTTCACTGGTGACAACATTGATCTGCGATGCAGTGTCTACAATCATTTCTACACTAAGTTCTCCAAACTTCACTTTTTGCTTTATCCACTCTTCTTTTTCCACACTTTGCATTGGATCGAAGATGTCCAGAATTGCACAATATGGAGAACCTGAATGATTATTATCATTACTCCACTGCCTTTTTGGCTGATACTGATTATTCTTCAAGAACTTACAATGCATACGCCAGTGACCAAAACGTCCACAATGACTGCACTTTTTCTCAATAACATTTTGTTGATACTTGACGTTTGGTTTGGACCACTGTTTTTTGTACTCACTTCCAATTTCACTTTCACTCTTTTCACAACATTTCACTTTTTCCACTGTGTTGACTGTCGGCACTTCTTTTTTTACTTCACTAATTTTCTCCTTGACAAGATACAGTGCCTCACTTTTATTGGACATATATGCCCGACACTCTTCAATAATTTCCTTCAATGTCACTGCTTGCCCTTTTTCACTTTTACTTTCAACACTTTTCATTGCTACTTGTCGCACTGCCGTTGCATCACTGGGCATACCTGAAATAAAAATCAGGATTTTCAATTCCTCAATCGACAATGCCATTTCGGCTCGCTCACATTGAGCATTCACTACATTCCCAAACTCAACAATATCTTGAAGGTCACTACACTTAACATTTAAGGCCTCGAACCTTTTCAACAATTTGGACCTATGGTCGCTAAACTCTTTCACTAACTCACTACACAGTTCGTCGAACTTCATTTCACTCAATTTGGTTGGCAGCATCTTCCGTTCAATCGGGGCATACTCTTCTGGCCCCAATTTACTCAACAACAATCTCACTTTAGAGGATTCTGGCAGGGTTTTACCCTCCACCTCAAAATAGGACCGATGCCTGCCCAACCATGACTCAAAGGTCATACCACTCGTCAAATCAAAAACGAACTCACCAATCATCCCAACTAATTTGCTGTACAATTCGGTGTCGTTCCTCTCACTCGGCTTTAACAGTCTCACTAACATTTTCTCGAAATATTCCTGCTGTGACTTCAATAATTTCTCCACTGTTTTTGCATCCATTTTGCACTCACTAAAATAAACTTTTTATCACTACACTTTACACTACAATTTCACTAACCTTTTTGGTTTTACTACACTACAATTGTCCACACACTTTTTTTTTTTTTTTTTTAACTGCACACAGCTTACGTTGACGAGCACACAGCTTACGTTGACGAGCGTTGACGAACTGTTGACGAGCTTGGTTCTTTTACAGGAGACCGCGCCAAATCTGTTACGACCCCGGTTACGTAGAGGAAGCTAACAGAAACGTTTATTGCACAAAGAAATACAAAGCAGGCGAAGGTTGGGGTATGAAGAAGAACTAAAACTGAGACCGAGAACTAACTATTGGCTGGGCTTTTATACTAAACACTTTAAGGGCTGACGCCCATACACAACATTTATGTTGATATACATATTTAAATCTTTTATTTTTAACATTATATTAATTTTGAGACTTTCGAAATTAAAATTGTTTATTTACCTTTTTTGTAATTTAAAATCTCATCATTTTCTGTTTCCTTTTTATTTCTAATTGTTTCTACAATTGGAGGACTAATAATATTAACAATTTGGGCAACATTTAAAATATTTGGAAGTAGAGAATTTACAACCATTTTTTTATTATTTCAACAAAGAATTTAAAATAAATAAAATAAAATATATGTATATTTTAAGAAAAAATAAATTTCATAAAAAAGTATTTATTTGTACTTTCAAATAAACTCAATTTTAAGTAGAAAATGGCTTTTCTTTTGTTTTGATAAAATTAAATTAGAGTTTTTTGAGACAAAAATGTTGTTAAATTTTCTTGATTTAACTTAAAATATAAATTTATGTTATTTATATTTCAAAAAAGAGTTCAAAACTATCAACAAATTTTTGAAAAAATTGAAAATATTTAATGAATTAATTAAATTATTTATTAAAATTTAATAAAATTATTTTTAAATTTTTATTTTAACAAGAAAATTAAAAAATACAAAATAAACTATAAACTATTAAAATATAAAATATTTTTATTCGCGCAAAAGAACTAAATAACAATCAGTTTATCTCATAGAGACTACAGAAACAATAAATAAAAATACAAAAATATGTATATAAACTTAACAAACTACAAATAATGTTTTAAGATTTTAAATTTAAAAATCATTTAAATAAACCTATTTAGTTTATATAAATTTATTAATTTTTTTAAAAAATTCCTCTCATTTTTCACGTTAATTTCCTAATAAAATTAATATTTAAATATAATTTTAAATTTATTTAAATTATTAAAATTAGACGTGTTTAGGTAAAGACTATTGAAAGACCATTAGTATAGACGACAGAAACGTCGGAGTATTATTAACAAAATCCCAACTTTATATATTTGATCAACGAACAATTAACATACCCCAAAATTTTCATTTTCCTTGTCTATTCGATTAATTTTATTTTGTCTATCTAATACATAGATCAAAATATTTAAGATCAATTAAAGTACACACATTCACATTTTTTTCTAAATGATAAATTTTAAATAAATATAAATTTAATTGTTGCGCACAGAAAATGTTAAATTTTATAGTCTAAATATTTTTATCGATAATTTAAAAATTGAATTTTTTTAAATTAAAATATTAATTACTAAGTCTCTTTTATTTATTAATAAGTTATTAATTTAACTAGTTTATTAATAATTATTTTAAGTATTTCAATAAAATTATTCACATAAATATAGCGAATAGATCAACTAAAATAATTATTTATATATATAGAAATGTTCGTTAAATTCAATTAATATTTTATTTAATTTTTATAAATATAAAAAATTCTTTAAAAATTAGTTCAAATACAATCTTAAATTAATATAAAATACAATAAAAATTTTCATTAATTTTTTCAAACCCCCCAACTTTAATTATAATTAAATTTAATTTTTAGTTAATTAATTTATTAAAAATATTTTCTAATTAAGATGGAAAATATGAATTTAAAAAATAATTCTCAAATAAAATTAGCAGTTTATAATTTTGAAGAGGTATTCTATTCTATTTAATAAAAAAATAAAATAATTTTTTAAATTATAGCGTCTAAGAATTTTCCATATTGGAATACTTGTTAGGTGAAAAGGTAAAAATAAATAAATTTATTTTTAATAAATCTTTTTTTAGAATTCCATTTTGGTGTAAAAAAAAGTGTTCATGTATGTCCACAACGAAATAATGGAAAGAAATTTTATATATTAATTAATCGTTTATTTCCAAGGAAAATGGAGTTTTTGTATGTTTTATTTGAATATTTTAAATTAAAAAAAAGAAATTTATATAAAATTAAAAATAATTTTGATAGGTTTAAGTTAGTGAAAGTTATCAATAAAGAGTTTAGAAAAAGTCTAGGTAGATAGCTGGAATCTCGTACATAAGACCTTGTTGGGTCCTTAATTTTTCTCTCCTTCAAATTTAACATCCACCCAAGCGTTTTTAAATTAAATTATCTTTACAAAAATTAATGCTAACATAAGAAAATAGGTATATCTAATGTTTTTATTAAAATTATTAAATTATTATTAAATAATTTTATTTAATTTTAGAAAAATCTTTAACATTTTCGATAATAAATTTAACCAATTTTATCTATTATTTAAAAAATCTTTTTTATTTTTAGAAGATATGTTGATATTTTTATTGATGGATTTCCATTATCTACTTCACTTTCTATGGATCAAATTTTAAATATAAAAACAAATTTAGAAAAATATCGTTTCGGCCCAAATACTTACAATTTATTTAAAAATAATTGCATAGACTTTGCCTATACCTTTCTTTGCTGTATTGCATCAAATGGAGAATTATTAAATAAAAATAATTTACCAAATGAAATTAGACAGCCATGGATTACCGAACCTTTTAGAAAATTAAATAAAAATGTTATAAAATATTTAAAGTAATAAATTAACATTTTTTTAAATTTTAATTTTAATAATTTAGAAAAAAGAAGAATGTTTATCGTTTAAATACTCAAGAAAATATGATTTTAAATTCAATTTAATGTTGTAAAATTTAAAAGAAATTATTATTTAATTTTAAAAATATGTAGATTGTTTGAAATGAAAAAATAAATTATTTAATTAAGGAAAATTCCTTAATTTAATTTTGCTTTTTAAGTAAAATTTAGTGTTTGTTCTTTCTTTACATTTAGGTCTAACTAAATCCTTTTTGCCCAATGATTTACCGAATAATTTATCCAATTAAATTTAAACTTTTAAATAAATATAAATATGTGAAAGTATATTTAATTTAAAACCCGATATAGGTAATATTTAATAGAATGCCCGTATTTTAAACCCATAAATTCTTAATTTTAAATCCCTGTAAATTGATTAATTCGAACATCGTCGAATTTATTCGCAATTTCCTTCAAATCAATATCTTGATCATCCTCACTATTTTCAGTCTGATTATCTGTTTGATCAATTTCACGGCCTTGAGCAAATCCCATTCTTCCTTTACGGAAATGGACAGAAACACAACGATTGACAAGGAATTGTTGTCCCATAACCCAATAATTGTTATCATATTGCATTACTTCATTGGTCATAAAAAGAAGACGACATTCGCCAATTGGGGACTAAAAATATTATATTTATGAAGGAATCTAATAATCAACTATCGATAGCTAAAATATTTCTGAAAAACTTACAACTTCCATATAATGTTCTGGCTTCAAAACAGTCTTTGAAGTATCTTTACCTTCCTCTCCAAATCTAATTGTTATTGTTGGCATTTGATCCATATTATCACAGGCTGTTTGATTTAGTAAATAAAAATCTCCAACATCATCAGGAACTTCAGCACCAAGCATATTTGCTAATTCATCTAATTGTGCTTTAGGTCCATACATATAAAGTGCTTGATCCATGATTTTAAGCATTGGACTTAGTGTTACATTTAATTTTGCGTCGTCAACTTTGACTGATAATATTTTAACAGACCATTGACCTTCTTCAGCAAGAAGTACGTAATCATATTCATCAACACAATCATCATAGTTTTCAGCACCGAAAGTTAATTTTCCAATATTTGAATCTCCAACTGTTACACTAAATAAAATTATGTTAATTAAAATATTTCAACATAATATAAATTACCTATATTGTGTTATAGTTACAATTGGGTGATCAACGACACTCATTATTGAAACAAGCGGAGAAGCTTTGCAAGGATCAATCATTTTAAGAGGTGGAGCAAGACCAAACACTCCCTCCAAGGGGGTAAATTGGAATTCAGTAGGCATTTTTGGGTATGATATAATAGAAACAAATCTCATTACAGGAAGTCTCAAATCACCAATCTTTTATTTAAAATTCTTTTTAATTATTTAAAATACACTAACAGTAATATTATCCATAAACATAGGTCCAGATTTACCATCTGTATATGTAACATTTCTACCAGTTGGAATACTAAATTTGGAAGTATTATTGTTATATTTAGTTTTTGTCCAGGGAAAATCAGCATTATTATCAACAACCCAGAAGGCAGAAGATTGAAGATTTAAGGCGAGTGTAAAATTTTTAGCTAAAAAATAAATAGAATTAATTAAAAAAATATACTTTTTTAATTTATTAAAAAATTGTTTTTAATTTTAAAAAATTTATTTACGAGGAGTTCCAATTGGTATAACTCCAACACGATTAAATTGAGCAATTCCAAATGGAATTGAGCCATTCAAAGATGGTTCTAAATTAGCTTGACGACGTTTTCTAATTTGATTTGAATTAATTAAATTAAAATTAATTGAAATAAAAAATACGAAAATAAAAATTAAATTCATTTTTTATTTTTAATTATTTTTTTTTAGAATTTATGGAATTGAAAGAGAAAGAGGGGAGGATATTCTTCTAAAATTATTTTTAAAAACTGTTGAGTATCTCTCCATTTACCTCTTAATTTTATATAAAGCAACACACATACTACAAAAAATTATAAAATACAAAGGAAGGCGTGGCATCCATGCTTAATATAACCATCTGCAAAAATCTTTTATTTACAGCCTATTTGGGCGTTGATAATTTTTGGGAATAAATTTTAAAAATTTATATATTGATTTATTTAAAATTTAAATTTTTCTAAATTAAGTTTTAAAAGAATTTTTGTAAATTAATTATTTTAAAAATAATTAAAGTGTAATAGACCTTCTAGCATTTTAAATAAAAATGAGAAGATTTATCCGAATACCACTAACTAACATATACAAACCCATATTTTCACTTGTATTTTTATTTTTTGAATTATGTAATATTTACAAAAAATTTTCTTTATTTTATTTCTTTAAATTAAAAAAAACAATCAAAAACTATTCAGAATTCATCTTACAAAAAAATAAATATTTTTTATTTTTAATATTTATTTTAAAAATATATTTTATTTTCTAGCGCCAAAGTTTGGTACAAACAAAAATTCTAAAAAATATATATATATAAAAATGCAAACAAATATAAAATTAAAAAATTCTTTTATTCCACGCAATAAAAAATAATAAAAAAAAGCAAAAAAACCCGAGTATATTCTTTCTATTTTTGTTAATATATTTGCTTTATTTAAAATAATCCATAAAAAAATATTCGGTATTTCGTAGATGGGAGAATATTTAAAAAATTGAATTTAAAAAATCCTTTAATAACCAAATGATTAAAGATTAAATTTAAATAAATTTAAACAAATCTCTAATCAATTTGTGTTTAATAAAAAAATTAATTATAATATTTGAGATTTAATCTTTTTTAAAAATTTAAGTTTAAAGAAATATTTTGAATTAAAGACCGAGTATATTACTGTGGTAAATATTGAAATTTTTCGAATCAGAAAATTTGTCAGAGATTTATGCATTAAATTTAATTAAATCAAAATCTGAACTGATAAATTATAGTTAAAATTAAATTTATAGGTTCCAATCTGTGTTAGTCAAATCATTTTATATATTAACACCAAAATTATTAATATCAATTTATAAAAATCAAAAAAAAATAAAAATTTAAATAAAATAAAAATATATTTTTTTGTTATTTATTTAATGATTGACTCGATATTCTTTTAATTCGAGAGCCTGAACTGCTACAATTAGATAATTTTTGTTCATTGCTAATTGTTATTTGTGCGACTTTAAATTTTGAATCACCGATACGAACAGAATAAACACCTAAAAATATTTAGGGATAAGAGAAAAAATTTTCACAAACTTTTTTCAGCTAGCTTATCTTTAATTATTATTTTTGTAAAATGTTAATTATATTTAAAAGAATTATCTAATTTTAATTCAACAACAATTTTGTTTTGTTAGAATTTTTGAAATTAATTTAAATTTTACCAGAATCAAATGGTTGTGCACAATGTATAATTAAATAATGTTTCGTTCCATTTACTACATGTTCAAATTTTCCTTCATCTGAAACAATTCTTGAATCCAAATCTTTATGATTACGTTGCCAATGTAAACGATAACCAAAACTAACATTTTCTAACTAAAAGAAATATTTTGTTTAAAATAATTTTTATAAATTTAATTAATTTCTTTTAAATTTAAATTTTCGTTCAACCTCGCAAGCAATAGTGGCAGTTGAACCAATTGGAACAAGGTAATCACCTAAATCCTCATCATCGGTTTCTGCAGAGGAAACTTGAACTTCTTTTTCATCAATTCTATCTAAATAAATAAAGTTTAGCAAAAATTTTGTCAGCAGGCAGGAAATTGAACCTTCAAGCTTTTGTTAGGCTTCGTTTACACATTTGAAGGTGTTCAACTACTTAACTAAGCTAGTAAACCCTTGCCAAATTTTCCCGTCTAACAAAACTGAATACTAAGGAAAGTAGTACATATGTAGGTATACAAAGTTTTATTAAAAATCCCTTTTTCCTAAATCTCTTTATCTTATAATTAATTCCAAAATTTATTTTACTTCAAAAAATAATTTATTTATTTACCTTCAACAATTAATTGAACACTAGTAAATTTATCACCAATTTGGGCAAAATAAAATCCTTGATCAGAAAACTGAACATTTTGTACAATTATTCTATACCATCCATTTGTTGTACTTTCAAATAAAATACGATTATCTCCGCTTGATTTATCCAAAATTTGGCCATCTTTATGCCAATAAACGTCTAAATTAGCCCTATTCATCGAAACAGAAATAATTGCTGTCTCCCCCTGCATTACAAACCTTTAAATTAAAATGTAAAATTATTTTTATTTAATTAATTAATTTATTTACTGTGTTTGGGGTGAAGTTAAAAATATTTCTTCATTTGTGATAAAAGAATTTAGGTTTTGTTGATGAGAAGATTCAAAATCATCTCCAATTTCTTCCTCCTCCTCTTCTTCATTATTTTCTTCAATAATTAAATAAGCGACGGGATATATTTCTCCATTTATTTTAATAGAATATAATTGTCCATCTTCATGGCTAACATTATAAATAACCAAAACATTTATAAAATCGTGAAAGTGACATTCAAATTTGCCATTCTCTGTAAAAACAATTTGCTCGTTTTGTCCACGAATCCACTAAAATTAATAAAAAATATTCTAACATTTATTTGTATTTAAAGGAAAATAAGTAAAATTAACTTTAATTAACTTTAAATACCCTAGATTAATAATTCTCAATTTTTTATTTTAAATGGAGAAAATAAACAGGATCAATGAGACTATTAATAAAGTTTAAATAAACACCAATTTACAGTTATCATCAAGTCTTGATAGAATGCTAAAATTAATGGGGGTTTTTGATCTAAGGAATTAATAATTTAAATAATTGTTTAAGAATACCAAACAAAAATATACTAAAAATAGTCATTAATTAAATATTTAAATAATTACTTCGATATTTGAAAGGTTTGAAATACAATCACTATTTAGTTCACAAGTAATTGAAGCAGTAGACCCTATTTTAATTACATAAGCTGGAATATCATCCAAATCTTCTTCTTGGCCACCTATATTAATTTTTAAACTTAACTTGAGTATGTTTAAAAAATCTTTTGTCTATAAAAATTTTTTATAGATACATAAGTATCAAAACAAATAAATTAAATTTAAAATAAATACTAAGTATTAACTTAATTATAATTACTAACCAACTAAAATAGTTGTAGTCCCACTTCCCGTTGAATGGGCTAAAGATTTTTGAGATGAACGTTTTGATGCTGAACAGATAGATAAATTTTCATTACCCCCATTATTCCCTCGAAAGTGATTGCTTTCACTGACACTTATTTGTTTTAGAACACTTTCACGACTAAGTGAAGATTCAATAGAAGTAGACATTCCAAAACTTAGGCCAGAACGATTATCATCTTAAATTAATAAGAATTTTTCGAATGATGACAAAAATAGATTGCCTGGAGAAGAAATATTTGTTATAGCTTTGTTATTATTTCTTTTGTTATTTAAGGGTGGAGGAGATTCTTTTACTTCGAGACCAATTTGGCCCCAAGGTATTTCTTCGAGAAAGACATGTACAGAATCATAATCACTTTTAGCATTTATAGAGACAGCCATACGTGTGTGGGCATCTGTGTACCCTGGGGAATCTAAAATAAAATGAAAGAAACATTTATTTATTTTTTTTGAGGGATTAAATAAAATTTATATTAAATTTTGTTTATATTTCAGATAATCAGTAATTAAATAAATTAATTAATTGCTAACCACTATTCTCTCGTTCAATTTCCTCCATTATTGTTGATTTAAGTAAAGGAGATCCAGAACGTATAAGTACTTTCTTTTCACAAAATTCCTCTGAAACCATAACAACAGAATCTCTCCCACATTCACTCATACGTTCAACATCAACCTTTTTTATTACAAAAAAATAATATTTTAACAAAATTTACCTGAAAATTATTACCACAAAATGTTGCTTTTACACTTGCATGTTGTTCTGGATAAATTACTGCATTTAAAATTGAATGTTTATTCCTTCTTCTAAGAAAAAATGTTTCTGTACAATTTTCTTCTGATTCCTAAAATATTTTTTTATTAAATTTGATATTTAAAAATACATATATATTTAATTTCTATAAAATTTCCAAAAAAAATATTTTTTTTAAAATTACTTCATCAATTATAGCAGTTTCTTGCTGAAAAGTAGAAGCAGAAGGAACAGAACTTAAAGCAGAATTTCTTCTAAAAAGTATTGGCACACTCAAACAAGAACTATTATCTACAGCGCTACTTGCAATACTAACACTAACAGCCTCTTCTACATCATCATCATCAATTGAACTACTTGATAAATTAAAAAGGGATAATTTAAAAATTAAATAAATAACAAACTTGCTTCTTTTAAATTTCTTTAAATTATAACTTAAATTAAGTATTTGACGTAATAATTTTCCCATAAATTTTATTTTTAAGATTAAAATTCTGAATATTTTTAATTTAAAAAATTATTTGGAAAAATTAAAGAAAAATATTTGTATTTAAGGAGAATTTTAAAAAAATGAATTTCTCGATTAATATAAAGCATTTCAGCTTTTAAAAAATCCTAAAAATCTAAAAATATATTTTTAGCAATATCTTATAACGATGTCATTAAATATTTTTTACGTAATATTTTTTACTTTACTTTAAAATATTTCATTCAAAAAAAAAGAAATATTTAAAATTTTAAAAATATCTTTTTAAAAATTAAAAAATGAGATACTTAAAGTAATAACATAAATATTAAAAATATTTTTTAAATAAATTTTTTAAAATTTTTTTGCAAGAGCAGCTGTTAAATAAATATATATTAAAGTTTTTTTTAATTTTTCAAACTTTGTCCTTTATATATAAAAGGTAGTTTTTGTTCAACTAAAAAATTGTCATATGTTTTAAATTAATGATATGTAGGTATATTTAAAAAATCCGAAAATTTATTTGAAGGAAAGTAAAATTTAAAATTAATGATAGAGAATATAATATTAAGCGAATATGATAATAGGGAATATGATATTAATTACCTAAATATTTTTAACCAAAATATTTTAGCTAAAATTAATGAAAGTAAAATTAAGTAAAAGTTTTTGAATTTATTTAACTCTCAAATAAAATAAAATATAAAATAAATTAAGGGGTGAAAATGGTATCCAAAAATAATAATAAATAAATTTAAAAATAATTTAAAAAGTTTTTTTTGTAATATCATTTGGGGAAAGAATTTCTAATGAAATTGAAATAAAAATAAATCATGAATTTAAAAAAAATTTTAGATTACTCTAAAGCTGTTTAAAAATAAATGATTGAAAAACAAATAATAATCAATCATTATTTTAAAATGATTAATTAAAAGAAATTTAGAAATAGTTGTGTTTATATTAGAATTGATGTTATTGTTAATTATATTTTGGTTGAAATTGTTAAACTAATTTTAGATTTTTAGCTTTAATAATTTAAAGAATTTAAAAAGTTAAATATTATTTTAAAAGATTTTTAAGTAATTTTTTATTAAAATTTAATTTTTACTTTAGTAGCGAAGGCTTTTGACCATTTGTAATTTTTTGTTGTTCTCGAGCTAAATATGAAGTTGGGCATGGACCAAGGCGGAATGGAGACTAAAATGTTAAAACTAAAATATTTTTCGAAATGAATTAGTGAATATTTAGATAAATAATTAGTATCAATAAATTTGATACCTGATCATTAAACTTTTTGGATGAATAAGGTAAGTCTGAGGAATAATTTTTCGATATCTCTAACAAGTGTTGATTCGAAGTAGATGCTGGGCTCTAAATAATATTATTAGTTAATTGAACAGATATCTATTTAATAGAAGAAAATTAAGAAAATTTTTAAAGATAAGAGTGTAAATAAATATTAAATAAAAAGTAACAAATTAATAAAAGTTTTTAGAAATTTAAATAAAAATTAGGAAGTATATTTATAAATTTACCAAAGGAGGGCTTTCTATTCTCGTAGCAGTTCTTGTAGTTAATAATGGGATAAAAGCATTAACTCTAGAGGTGCTTTCGTATGGCCTGTCCAAATGTGCACTTAATTCAACAGCATTTACTCTTTGTTTTGAAATATTTGTTTGTTTAGAAAATGAAGGATCTTCTTCAATAATGCTGTATAATGGACCTATTCTCTCCTCAATTGAAGAAGTGAGAGATTTAGGTTTTGGAGGTACCTGGAAATAAATAATTTCTGTTTGAAAAATATAAAAATTTTTTATTTAATATCTTAGAGACATCAAAAAAAATTTTCCCAGGATTCCAAGACGAGACCTTGACTTAATATCAAAAATTTACAAAACTAAGACTAATTTCTATTATTTTAATTAAATGAATTAAGAGAGATAAATATCGTATTATAAATTATAATTAAATTATAACTCTATATAATTAACTCTATATATTAATTCTATATCTTTTACAAATTATAATTTCCTAAAATTATTATTATCTATTTATTATTTTTGCCTGGGGTGGCGTTTTCTTCCTTGAGGATTGTTTTACATTTTCATTATCAATTTTTTTCAAAACAATATTTTCTTGCTTATAAATTTTGGAATGTTTAGATTCAACATTTTGTTGTTTATTACTTCCATTTAATGGAAAATCAAAAAATTGTTCAGTTTTCTTCTCATTTTGTTTAGCTTTCATTCTCTGAAGAAATGTTTGCTTTGTTTGTTTGAGAATATTTATATTTTTTTCTTTTTGTTGTTGTTTATTTAAGATTGCTTGTTCTAATTTAGATGATGATGGATGGTCAATTTGTTGTTGGTAAATAATTGGTCTCTTTATAAATTATTTAAATTAAAATTTAAAAAGATAAAAATAGCCAAGCATTCGATGGATCCTAGCTCTTGGCACAGTCGATTGTGCATTGTCCCTGAATGTGAATTGACCTCCCCCCTCAATATTTATTATATTATTTAATAATTATTTTAAATTATTTAATTAACAAAAAAATTATTTACATCAACGTTAAAAATATTTTGTTTAGTCTCAGACAAAGATGAAATTGATGGTTGTCTTGAAGTAGCAACAGTAGTCGCTGTACTCATATTTTTCAATGTTTCCATTATTTTATCAATTGAACTAGAAACTTTCTTGAAAAAATTTTTTTGACAAATAATTTTTATTTGTTCGTACCTTTAAAACTTTAAGAACAATTTCAATTCTCTCCTTAACATTCTCTTCTCGACATAATTTATGGATAGTATCTATCTCTTCGTTAATTCTCACCAATAAATCAAAGACTGTTTTCCTCTCTTCGTAAGGGGTTAAACGGCCACTGTTAAAAAATTTTTGTAAGTATAAATTGGACTTTTTAATTTTTTAAATTTAATTAAGTTAAATTATCAATTTCTGATCATTATCAATAATTTAACCTCATATTTGTTGTATTTGCTTTAAGTTGTTCTTTGTGACAAAGATCGTCCAAAGCATTTAATTTATGTCTTAACATTACAATTAATGGAGTCATTCTAGATATTTCATCACTCCTTTGACTAAGCGATTCTTTTCTCCGTTTTTGTTCCAAATTTTGGAGGGGTGGCGGAGTTAGATCAATTCGAAGTAATTGATCATTAATCTCCAATTGTTGCTCGGATAGAAGACGATGCTCTAATAAAGCTAATTTTTCTCGTAACAAACCTATAGGCTCTCTAAGTGCCTAAATTTAAAAAAAAATTTAAGTAAAATAGAATTAAAAATTACTCGAACATAATAACCTTCCAATGCAATATCAGCAAAAACATTTTCATTAGACAAACCAGCATTATCTCTTTTCATATTTTCTTTAAAGTTTTGCTTCGGCTCAAAATCTGGATCCAAATTTAAAATCATTCGAGCAAGTCTAACTCTCAAAAGCTCTTCTTTTGCCTCAGCTTGAGCTTTAGTAACAGGTTCATTTGGAAGTTTAATTCGTTCAGAAATTGAAAGAATAACATTCTCAATTCGTTCTACTTCTGGACTATTTCTCTTATATTCCTAATAAATAATTCTTTAAATTTTATCTAATTTTTATTTTTACTTGAGCACTATCCAAGTCTCTCTGTACTTCCAATAAAGCTCTTCTTAATTCCTCATATTGGTTTTGTTCAATCAGTCGAGGCAATTCATCGTTGTTAAAACTACGTGTTTTGTATATCTACAATATTTTTTATTTAAAAATAATTTTTACAAATCTCTCAATTTACTTTTTCTTGAAATCCAGGTTGCCTAAATTGGCGATTTGAGGTTTGTAATGTAGAAAATTTTCCTTTATAATTATTAAAATTTCCTTCTTTTTTATTAATGTCATCATCTCTCAAGTAAATCCTTTCACTAGTATTGTCAAATATCCTCTCGTCTTTGACTTTATTAGATTTTTCCTGCTGTATAATGTTAAACAATTAAATTTTTTATATATGTATTTGTTTATAAAAAGGATTTTTTAAATTAATTATGACCAAAAATGGCCTCTCAAAATCAGAATTGTGGTTTAGTTTAATTATCTAACAAATTCTTGTTTTTATGTATAATTAAGCTTTTCAAACAAAAATAAACTTAAATACCGTATTTTTTGTATTAGAGCCCCACGCTGTATTAGAGCCCCACGCTGTAATAAAGCCCCACTTTGGAGGATAGTTGAAAAATAGAGCCCCACGCTGTATTAGAGCCCCACGCTGTAATAAAGCCCCACTTTATGAAATTTTCACATACCTAAGTTAATAAATTTATTTTTAATACTGTACAGCCTTTTCTATCATTTCCAGTCAAATCAAAGCAGTTCATTCCAGTTAGGTTCTGTCACTGGAGGCATAGATTGATTAGAGTTCAGCGGGATCGGGATCTTGGTCGGGATCGGGCGGGAGTAAGCCGGGTTTTTCAAATCCTGATCCCGATCACGGCCAATCCCGAGGCCGAGATCGGGATTGTTATGTGCATCAGATCCAGATGCAAATCCCGATTTTATAAATTGACTCGTCTGTGAAATAAAGTAGAGTAAGTCGAGTTTGAGCATTTTCGAGTTACTCTATCTGCCCAAAAAACTATAATCTGCCCAAATCCCGCTTAATACCTTGATATCCTTCTCACTCCTCTTATCACTCGATATCCCTTTAATCTGCACGAATCAACGAAATAATATTATCCATTGATTTTCCACCCGGAGCCCGGAGTCAACATGGAAATACCTTCTTAATCACATCTATATCCTTTCATGGGACTGAACCGGAATATATTCACGAGAGATTGAAACGTACGGACTGAAGAAAAATAGAATCGAACCTTCAAAGGCTCGATAGGATTCGAACCTTCCACAAATTAAAATTCCAATTCGGCCTTAAATCTAACTCAGATGCACTTAACCGCGCCTTAGTGTACACGCGTGACTATCATATTTGGAAATATCTCAATGTTGAAATTTGCTTTTGTGATTAAACTTTAATTGATTGGATAAATATAGTTAACCGTATAATTGAAAATCCTATTACTTATTTTCAAGAATAGGTTGAAAAATAGAGCCCCACGCTCTATTAGAGCCCCACGCTGTAATATAGCCCCACTTTGGAGGATAGTTGAAAAATAGAGCCCCATGGGGCTCTAATACAAAAAATACGGTATTTTTCTTACATTATTTTCCTTCCACTCCTTTGTCCAAAACTCTGCTTTATCAAATTCTTGCCCATATAAGGGTTTAATAATTACACTATTACAAAAGTTTACTCCTTCATTGTCTTCATATTTATTATTATTATTTTTCAATTTATTATTACACTTAACAAGCCATTCCTGTGTTATTTCTGTGACCCTTGCCAGATGGCAATGACTTGTACTCTGAATTAAATAAGGATTTTGTTGATTATTAATTTCTTCTGAATTAAAATATTCTTTTTCATTCTTTTTATTTTGTTCTTCTATTTTGTAAATATATTTTGGTTGTTTTTTTATTAAATGCTTTTTAGGTGGAATAGGTGGAGGCCCTCCATTTTTATTTTCCTTCCTTAAGTAACTTTCTTCGTATTTTTCCTCGAACGGAAGCGCTATAAAAAATAAAATAAATTAAAATTATTTTCCATTAAAGAGCATTAAAAACCACCTTGATGGGACATAGCTTCGCTAATTTCTGCCAAAATAGGTTGTATATCACAAACACTCTCTATAAATCTTTCTAAAGGAGGAGAAATAACCTGTGATTGTCTTTTATCTTCAAATTGTGTTTTTACGGGGTTTAGCTCTTCTGGATTTAAGTTATAATTAATTTTTGGTTGATATTCTGTTTGTGTCCATTTAGTTGGAGAGGGACTTTTTTGACGATTTTTTGAAAAATTCTACACATAAAAATATTTAAATTAAATACTTTCTCTCAAAATTATTTTTACCATTTCAAAAGTTCCCTGTCTAAATTCTCTCATTCCCCCACTTGAAATCATCGAAGTTTGGATAGAATAATCTGTCAGATTATCTGAACTATTCATAACATTCATATTTGTTGCATGAAGAAAATGTACAGGACCAGAAATTTCAACACGAACAGGATAAGCAACTCTTTCGAATTCTCTTAGACCTTCCAATGTTCCTGTACTTTCTACACTTTTTGACATTAATTTTGTTTTTGGTTTTGTCCCTTTATACATTAAAAGACGGACCTAAGCAATTTTATTTTTGAATTTTTAAAAATAAATTAAAAAAAAACTTCTTCGTTTGCTTGTTGTTCAGAAAGTGTTGAAGTCTCTATTTGCGGCCCTAATATATTGCTTGCCATAATTTTTGGAATTTTAACAAATAAAACAATTCTTTCAGAAAAACATCCAGAAATATTTAAATTATTTACCAAAATATTTTTTAAATGAAAGTTTTTCTGAATATTACATTCAGAACCATTTTCTTCTGCTAAAATACTCATTGTTTGGATTTTATTAGTTTGTTGTTTTTGTTCATCATTTATTTGTGGGATTTTGGATTGTTGTAGTTGTGGTGGTTGGGGTGTAAATTTCTTAATTTTTAAATTATTTTCCGAGAAATAATTTAATCACAACACCTTCTGTTGAGGGAAACATTCATAAGCAGAATGCCATAATTCATCACTACTACTCATTATGTTAGATGAGGACATCCCAACAGTTTGGCCATTTACATTACCAGAATAATACTGATTAGTAGAATCATAACATCCACTAACTTTTGATTCTTGTCTTTGGATAATTTTACTCTAAAATTTAATTTAAAATCAAAAAGTATTTTTAGTTAAAATTAAATTTTCAGAACTAGTTGGATTACACAATTATGTAGAACTCAAAATTAAAAATATTGTACAGTTGAAAACAAAAATATTTTTTTATTTACCTCATGTTCAAGCATTAATTCCTCTGCCATAAAAGGACCATTGACAGGAAAGGGAGAAAACCCAAAAGAAGATTCTTGAGGGAATTCATGTCTTTTATGATATATCCCGCTATCAGAGACAGTCCATATATCCAATTGTTTTGTTTTATCAATACTACGAACAAGTTGTGGTGGATAACGATCAATTATCAACTTAATTTTTTTAAATAATAATTAAAAATATTTAAATTTTTATAATAATTTTATTATTTTTTACCTCAAAAGGTAGTTGTTGAGGGATATTTTCTTGGGGATATTGATTCTGTCGGCCCATTGGTGGTAACGATGCGTGCTGCCTGTTTAAATAAATAAGAAAAATTTTTATTTTATTTTTGTCTATAATTTGAAACTAAATCCAAATATTCCAATTAAACACATAAATATACCGTATTATCTCTAATAGAATGCCCGGGCATTCTATTTTTCAATCACCTTCCAAAGGGGCATTCTATTAGAGGGGGGCATTCAAATGGAGGGGGGCATTGTATTTTTCGATCTTCCGCTAGAGGGGCATTCTATTAGAGGGGGGCATTCAAATGGAGAGGGGCATTCTACTTTAATAGAGATAATACGGTATTTTTTTCTACCTAGCCCTTCTTTGTTGCTCATCCAATCCTTGAGGAGTATTTGTTTGGCCAAATTTTCTCAAACTTTCACCACGTAATTTATATAGTTTTTGTTGTTGCCTTCGAAGAAAGTTTTCACTTTGTTCCTTATCAGTACTTTCCTAAATATTTTTAAAAATTATTTTTTGAAAATTAAGTCTGTATGTATAATTTTATTAAAAAAATAATTTTAATTCCCAACTTTATTCGTTCTTTCAATAGGTATCATAATTGAATGTCTATAGTTTTTCTTCTCCTTTGATAAATTTTGTTCACGTAAGATACTTGGATATTCTCTAGAATATTTTGCAGGCATTGATGTTTGCGGGGTAGTTCTGGCATCCTTTAGAAACAAATATATTTTGTTAAATTAATTTTAAATACATTTAAAGATTGTGTCGTATGTAATATCCGTGGGGCGTTGCTAGATTCAGAGTAACTTTGTTCAACATTAATTTCATCACGCATGGATGAACGTCTTAATTATTAAAAAAAATTTTTTTTAATATTTTAATTTAATTCCCAATAATATTTTAATCTTTTTAATTACCTGCTATACTCTTTCGGTCCTGACGATTCTCCTCCTGTATTTGAAGAAGAATCAGATTTTTTAACAATGGTTGTCTCATTTCTTTCTGTGACTTGATGACGGCGGAATCTTTGTGAAAGGACATTACGCATTTTGAAAATATTTTAACTTAAAAAGTAGTTGAAATGTTTTGAAATGGATTAAACTTGAAGAAATCCCCCTAAGTATACATATATAAAATAATAAATTATAAACCTAATCCCCCTAATACATATATACTCCCTATATGATCCCCCTATATGATCACCCTATATGAATCCCCCTTATTTCTATAATAGCTAGAAGGGAATCTCAATTTAATTTGTACTTTAATTAAAATAAAAACTTGCAAAAAAATATAAATTTATTATCAAATAAAAACAACACAAGCATTTCTTTACAAATTTTTTTCTTCTTATTTTTCTTTTAAAATAATTCCTAATTGACTATATTAATGTGGCAGGCGTCATCCATAGCTTTTTAACGTTAACTTTAAATCTATTAGATCTAAATATTTTTTCCTTTTATTGGACAATTGGCAAAAAACCGACAAGATCAACAAATAATAAAAACAAGGAATAGATCGATTATTAGCTAAAATCAATTTTTACGTTAATTCTTCATGTTTTTCTTTGATTAGAGAATTGAAAAATGGTAGGATAATATTGAATTTTTGAAAATTAAATATTTGAAAATTATTTTTTAAAAATTGGAATTAAAATATATAAAATTTTAATTATTTTTAATAAATTACTCTTCAGTTGATTTTTCATCTTAAAATGTTTAAGCATCCTAATCTTTTGCAAATATCTTTAGTATTATAAAATTATTTAAATATATTTAAAATGAAAAATAAAATATACAAATTTATATTTAGTAATATTTAAAAAAAGGGTTGAAAAATAATTTCCAGACATTATTCTAGTTGAAAAACAAAAATTTTAGTATCTTTAACAAAATAATTAAAAAATAAATCGTATTAAAGTTAAAACCGAAAATAAATTAATTGGCTGTATTTTCAACAACATTCTCAAATTTAATATTAAGTTAAGCTACAATTATTTTGAAATTTCTAGTAGAAATAAATAAATACGAGAATTTGACGCTGCACTTTATCTAAAAATATTTTAAAAATTATTTATTGTTCTCTCCATAAAATTTATTTTTTTCTATCTAAATTTGAATCCCTTTTTCCAATTAAAGTTGAGCAAACTCAAAAATAAAATTCTTTATTGCCCTAATAATAAAAAAGTAAATAATCAACTCGTCATCCAAAATTTAAAAACATTCAATTATAAAGTAGAGAATTTATTTTTTAATGAAACAAATAATTAAATTTAAATTTATTCAAATATTTTTATTATTTTTATTTCTTAAATTTAAAAATAACAATGCCTTAAATAAATGGGATGGTTGTTCAGGAGTTTCTGACGCTTTATGTGATGATGATGTGGGTTGTAAAATAATTATAAATTATAAAAAAGCATTTGAAATATACATTTTGTTTTTGTTATATCAAATCTATTCTGGCTTATTTGGGGGGTTTTCTATATTTCTATACCTTCACCTGATTTAAAGAAATAGACAAAAATGTATAAAAATTGTAAATATATCCCCCACCTATCAATCTTCAACAGTTTCTGACACTTTATCGAGTCTAAATGATCTAATGCGAACAAAACTCAATGAATACTACTTATTTTTTAACCAGAACTAATAATTCGGAAAAATCGAGGTTGACTATAAGTAAAAACATCAAAAACCCCGAAAACCGTGTTCGACCTTTTTTACTTCCTACTCTAATTGAAAAGCAAATATTTTCATGTTGAAAAATAAATCTATCCCTTATTTAAGTCTTACAAAAATTTTATGGTGGATCAATGTGAAGACATTTGTAAAAATAAAAAAATAAAAAATAAAAACGATGACGAGGATTGCAAAACCATGCCTGGATATCAACATCGGTTTAATATTTTATTTTTAAAATTCAGTTTTTTATTAAAATTATTTAATCATTTTCTAATAACTTTAAAAATTTTCAGTTGCAGAATGTGGAAAAGGAAAGGATTTTGTGAAGGATATGATGGTTTTTGGGATGAAGATACAATTAAAAAATATTGTGGACCAATTTGTAATTTATGTTAAAATTTCTTGAAAGACATTAATTATCATATTTACTCAACAATTATTTACTGACATTTTATTAAAAGTTTAACTTTAAAGTTTTAAACTTTCTAGTTTTGAAATCTTTAATTATTTAATTTTATTTTCAATTAATAATTTTTTGTTAAATTTTTTACTGTTTCTCAAACAACAGCACTTTTATTTTTGTCTATTTCCGTTAAAATTATTGACTATAAAATTTAGAGAAAGTGCAAGCCATATTTTTGCTTTTAAAGAGACCGACACCGACAGTCAATAAATGAATAAAAAAAAGACAAAAATAATTTTAAGAATTTTGAAATGATTTTATAAAAATGCTTTATTAAAATATAAATTTATTTCTAAATTAATTTCTCGAATAATATTTATAAATTAATATTTTATAAAAATATAAAGAAATGATTTTAAAAAAAATTTTGCTTTTTATTTGCTTTGGAATTTTGATTACAAATTTTCAGCAATTCACCTTTTCCGGTAATTTTTATTTTAAAAAATTAATTAGATTCAACTAATCTATTCTAAACAAATATTAGCAACACTTCCTGGCATTCAACTAATAACATTTAATAATCAAGTTGGCAATTTAAAACATCAAAATCTTTCTATAAAATCATTTCAATGTCCAAATATTCAATTTAAAAATTTAAATAATGAAAAGTTTAATTTATTTAAAAAATCGAGTTTAAATAATGGAAAAGGAAAAATAGGTCAATAATATTAAAAAAAATATAAATAAATAATAATATTTTGAATTAATAATTTTTTTAATATAATTTTAATTTATTTAAAAATTCTGTTAAGTGACCTCAGCATCAAAATCAGGCAATAATTTCCGAATTATTCCTCCACATCCTCAAAGTTCGTTAATAAATTCTAATTTAATATAATATCCTTCCTTTCTATATTTTAATAAATTAGAGACGATGGGACATGTTGTAAAAAAAAAGTTAGGTCGGGTCATTTCAGATATTTGAATATTTCGAGATTTTTTACATTCTGTTGATAACAAAACAAATTATTCATCATTATTGTCTCCTTAAAAATACTAACCAAAAGTTAAAAATCAAATAAACTTTCAGAATATACCTACAAACAGATTCGTACTTTAATTTTACTGCTTGTTTGCTTTGTTCACAAAAATTTTGTGAATTTTCAAGAAACATCTTTGGATTATATTATTAATAAAGCAATGCAGAAAAGATATAAAGATGAATTTATTGATGTCTTTCAAATGACGCTTTTAATAGAAGAACAATTTATAGCTTTTGATTTGAAGAACATATTTGATTTAATTGAAAATTCTTCTATTAAAGATTTGGAAAATTCTTTTTTAATTATCTCACAAATTTATTATTGGGCATTAACAACTTTCGTTGTAAATGCTTTATTGAGTTTAAATTTAAATGAGAAGAAAGCGTTAACAAAAGAATTTGAAATTGAAATTATTGAACCAACATCAATTTTGCTTTCAATATTACAAAAGTTTGTATTTACGTCAATTTAATAATAATTTGTAATATTTAATAGAATAATTTAATAATAATAAAATAATTTGTATTACGTCATTTTAAAAATAAATGTGCCAAGTCCATTAAGAATCACAAAATAGGCTAAAGCTCATTAAGCACCAAAAAAATAGGCCAGGAAGATTATACCTCTAAACAAAATTAACAACCAAGCACTGCATTTAAACAAACGATTCAATTAAAAACGTATTCTAACTGCAGTTATCCGAGAGATGACGTGTAGACGTGCAAGAGAGGAATTATCCAAAATAGAAAGTAAATTGTAGGGGGTAAGGTTGGAACGGATTAAACAAAGGAGATTAGGGAATAGTCGGACTATTAAGATCCATGACGCCGACAGGCTTTTATACAATCATAAGGCAACTGATTATATAGTAATTTATCAAATTTAATCCTTTAATTTTAGATCCAATATTTTAGAACTCAATGCAATAATTAAAGTCTCCTTGGATGTCTCATTTAGTCTTAAAAAGATATTTGCGTTGAATGAAGATTTTATTGATGGAGGGATTAAAATTATATTTAATAAAGAAATAGAGGATTATAATAATTAATTAAAAATATTCTAAAGTTAAACAATTATTATTTTCAAAAAACAATTTAAAGTAATTTTTCTTTTCTGTTCCACTTTTTTGAATATATTTTCCTTTCCATTCAACTTTTTTTATAATTAAATTTTTTCTCAATTCAGTCAATCGTTTATTTGTTTGTCCCAGCTTGCTAATAAAGAAGACAATTGCTAATATATATACATAATAATAAAATAGAAGTTCCGTTGTTATATTTTAAAAATCCTTTGTTTAGGTGGACTAATATTTTCGATATTTTTCGAAAAATTATCATTTTCACCAAAAATTCTTAACAATCTTTGAAATAAAATTAAAATTTTTAAATAATTTTATCAAATCAACCTAGAAATTTTTTTTTAATTTTTGGAAAAATATTTTTACAAGTATTAAAAAATTTTTTTCAATTATCATATTCCATGAAAAATTTTGAAAATTTTTGTAATAAGAATTATAACAGAATAATGTTTAACTTATTGGACATAAAAATTTTATTGAAATTATTAACATTTATTTTTTGGATTCTATTATGAAGTAAATGATAATAATAACAATATTATCATTTTATGTGTTATTAAAAAGAACATTAATAGTTTCTATTTTGTTTTAAAATGATGGGTACTTCAGACAATATATTATATTTAGATAATTATAAAAATCTTAAAAAAAATTTGCAATATATTTATTTATCAATTATTTTATAATTTTAAATAAAACAAAAATTTAAATTTTAATACTACAATTTAGAGAATAGAAATAAAATTCATTAAAATAATATTTTTAAAATACATAAATATAATTTCTCAATTTTATATTTTTCACCAATTAGGTAAATTATCTTTTTTGATATATTTAATTCCAATAACAAAATCTTTTTCTAAAGGTGCATCCAATATATTTTCAATTTCATTTAAATAATTATTTTTTAAATTTTCTTTAACTGTTTTTATTTCTTTATCTAATTCTTCTCGATTTATTTCCAATATATCTTTCAATTTAATTCCAATTAACCAACTTGTACATATCCAACCCTAAAAAATAATTATTCAATTATTTTAGATTCCAAATTACTTTTAATTTCTTTCCCATTTCTTTCGGGCACTCTTTATAATTTAATAATTTTAACGGTTTAACATGACAATATTCTATTTCAACAACTTTTTCAATATTTTCCATTAATTCTATATGCAATTGTGTTTCAACAAATCCACAAAATTTATATCCATGCAGAGAAGAAGGCAAATGAGAGCAATTAATTAGTAGAAAGTGTTCATACTTAAAGTTTGGATTTAAATAAATAATATTTAAATAAATAATAATTTGATAATATTAGGTTGTGTCATAAATAATTAGCCCCTCAACAAAATTAACTGAATATCTATTAAAATTAAACTAAATGTTTCCAGACTTTGAATTATATTTTTCTATGATCCTAAGAGAGTTGCCTATTTTCTGGCAAAAAATCAGAATTCTAGGATTAAGTTGGCATTAGTTAGAGGTGAAATACTATTAAAGAACTATGAATCTTTTTCTTTGTTTATACTATTTATTAAATTTTATAATTTTGTTAATATTTTTATATTATTTTTTATTAAAATAAATTTCCCAAATTTTTAATAAATTATATTTAAAATTTTATAATTCACTGACCAAAAGAGAAAATAATTTTTCATTCCCTAGCCAATCCAACCATTTTTTATTCAGAATTTCTTCATCAGAACCTTCCAAAATTTCCTTCTTTAGACTTTTTAATTTATCAAACCCTCAAAAAACAAAAAAATTATTTTTAAATTTACAAAAATTAAACCTAATTTATTAATTAATTTAATTATTTTTGCTGTTGATTTATTTATTTTAATTAAAGAATTATATTTTGGAAATCCCAAAGTTAATATTGTCCATCCTGGATTCTCATTTTTTTCATTTAAAGATTCCATTTGTCTAAATTTTTTTTCTTTTTCAAAATCCCAAATAATTTCATTTTTCTCTTCTTCCAAAATTTTTATTAAAAATTCTTCTTCAAAAATTTTATGAAATTCTTCCAAAATTTTTCTGAGTGGAATATTCGGATTTTTATTAATTAAATAATATGTCAAAACAATTAAAGCATTATTATTTAAAAATCCAAAATTATTTCCAAAAATTGAATTTTCTGTAAATATTTTTTGTTTAATAAAATTGTTTTTAATTTAAAATTACTTTTACACCATAATCGAAGTATACCAAATAATATTTTATAACGTTCTTTCGAAACATTATTAGAAACATTAAATAATTGCATCATTTTTTGGGATGAGCGATAATCTAGATAAAATTTTTGTTTAAATTTTGAATTTAGAATAATATATTAATCTGTGTAAAATTTTTGTTTGAATTTCAAATATAAAATAATTATACTAATAAATTATTTTCTTAATTTTACTTTAAGGTCCCATCTTATTATATAAAATAAAATGAATTAATTAATTGGATATAAAAATTTAGCTTTCGAAACTCTTAAGATTAGGGTTGTCGGTTCTTGGAAAATCTTCGGATATCCAGAACAAAACCGAAATCCTCGGTTTTTCGATTCCGTTCGTTCCAGAACCGACAACCCTACTCAAGATTAATTTGTTATATTTTTTTGAAACGGGTTGGCTACTTTAATTTATTAAAAAATTTTTAACGATCTTACACTAATCAGCTTAAATTCAAAATAATTTTTTGATTTTAATAAAATATAAATACATAAGAAATACAAACAAACCAGATAAATTAAAAACAAAGCTATTAGTCACAACATCCTTTGGATTTAAAACATTTGAAGATTTTTCTAAAAACATTTGAATGACTCTATCAATAAAGGTAAATCTTTTTGTTTTTTCAAAATTATCAATTAATTTATTTACATCGTTTGGAATTATAACAAATTTAATGTTTATATTTAAATTATTTAATTTAAATTTAATTAAAGGACGTCCAATAAATGTTTTGTATAAATTTTTAATTAAAATATTCTTTAAAAATTAAAAATTATTATTTTAATTAATTAATTAAAAATACTTTGCAAAAAAAGCAATAAATAGAAGAATCTAAACATTTATTTCTTTCATTTTCATTACACAAATAATTTCCAAGCAAATAATTATTTATTAAATTTATTTTATCATCTTCTTCAAGAAATTCGCTTTCCAACAAAATAATTCCTTCAATTTTAGAATAATCCTCAACAATTTTAATATTAACAATATTTGTAATTAATAAACGAGATATCCGTTTATTATCTTTATTCTAAATGAAAATAAAAATAGTTTTTAAATAATTTAAATTATTTTTAAAGACAATTGGATGTAAAAGGGGATAAAGTATTGGGATAGAGTATGACATACGGCGTTAAATAATTAAAAAGTCTTTATTTAAAACGTTTCCATTTTTAAATTATTTATTCCTGAAGTATTGTTTTTATTTTTAAAAATTTTTTTAAAAGTAAAGCAGCTGGGCTAACGCTTTTTCTCTCCTTTAGATAGTGCAAAAGTTTATTCGGCGGCTGGGAGCGAACCAGCATCTTCGGTAGATCGGACTACACCACGCCGCCTACTGCACAGCCTTAGGAATTAAATAGTTATATGCTTTACATAAATTTTTTTCAAATTAATTAATTTACCCATTTATCAAGCATTAATTTGTTTGCCAATTTATAATCTAAAGTCTCTTTTTCATTTCCCATAAATAATTTGCTAACAAATTCATCTTTCATTAAATTATTATTTTTAATTATTTCTTCCTCATATATTTTTTGTAGCTAAACAAAATAATTTAGAAATTGAAAAAAATTTAAAAACCAAATTTTCTACTTCCTCTTTATTTTCTAATTTATTTTTACTTTCAATTAATAAATCTTCAATTTCTGTATTTGCTTGAGTATTTTCTTTTTCAGGATCAAATTTAATTAATTCATTATTCTCTTTATCCTCAACCATCGAAATTTTTTCAAAATTTTCTTCTTCAATTTCTAAACTTTCCAAAATTTTAATAATTTCATTTACCCAATCAGTTGATCCGAATAAATTGTTTAAATGTTCTTTTGCCTTTTCATTTTTAAGTACTTAAATGTTTAATATATATTAAAATTGATAATTTAAAATTGATAAATTAAGGAAAATAAATCTTATCAGGTGCTTCTATATTCTGGGACTTCTAATCAAATTTAAGTGTATAACAGAATAGGTTAAGACTCTGGGATCAGAGGTGATGATTATGTTTTGATCCTTTATGATAAGAAAGGTTTCTTGCATGTAAATAGTTTTCTTGAAACTAGCCCTCTGAAAATCGTAAAATATTCCAAAACTTTGTATGGAATATTTTCATTTCGACAAGACAAAATTTCTAAACCCCAAAAATTTTCGGATTAATATCGGATATCCGAAGATTTTCCAAAAACACTTTTATTATTTTTAATTCTAAAATTTACCTTCTATATAACCTTTTCCAAAATCTTTTTCTAAAATTAATTTTTTAAATTCACTAAACATCAAATCATTTAACCATTCATTAAATTTTAAAAAACCTTTTTCTTCATCATTTTTATCATCCAACCATTCAATTATTTTTTTATTTTTAATTAAAAAATATATTTTATCAACTTCCTCCTTTAAATAAATTAATATTTCTTTTTCTTCTTTTTCTAATTCTTCCAATTCCATTTCAAATAAAGAATCGTATTTACTAGAAATTTTAGGCCTAATTTCTCCCCAAATTCCTTCCAATTTATTTAATAAATTTTTTTCAGATTCTTTTTCTTCTTTTAATTTTTTAATTTCATTATTTATATTTTTTCCACAAATAAAATATTTAATTCCCAAAATATTTTGCAAAAAATATTTTTATTTTTTCCAAAAATTATTGAATAAAAATGTTCATTTAATTCAAAATTATTATCAAAAATATTATTTTTAATAAAATATTTTAATTTAAAATTTGGAATTAATTCTTCTAAACGAGTTTTAATTCCCGGAATTTCTAATAAAATAATTTTATTATTTTCAAAAAAATTTTTGTGTTCATTCTGTAAAAGTACACGTTGTTCCAAAAATGTTATTTTTTGTTCTTCTTTATCCTCACATTCTTTCCCCTCCCAATTCAACAAATCTTCAAAAATTATTTTTTCTTTAAATTCTCTTTTTGTTTTTATTTTCTTTATTTCTTTAATTATTTGTCCAAAATATTCTGTTTTTAAATTATATTTATTTATTCTTTGAATTATTATCCACATATTTTTTATTAAAAGACAAATACTTTTTAACATAGAATTACTATCTAAAGATTCAAGAAAATAATTTTCAAAACTCATTGCATTTGATCCAATACACCCTAAAATCATTCTTTTCATTTCACCAATATTTTGCCCAGAATTTCTAAATAAATCTACTGCTTGAGTTTCTAGTTGTTTTACTCGACTGTCCAAAAATGAGAGTGAAATACGCAATTCGGCATCTATTGCTTTTTGTGATCCTTTTTTGTTTAATAAAAATTGTTGATAAAGGCTAAATTGCATTTCTGGGAGCAAAATATCTTTAAAAATTAAGCTTTATAAATAATAAAACAATTTTAATTATTTTTTACATTATAGCTTATCATTTTTTGTTTAACTTTAAGGTTACTAGTTTTTTGATATCCCTTTTTGAGTTTAAGAACCGTAGTTACACTAAAATTAGTTATCTCTCACACTCAGTGGCCAACAATCTACAATATTTTTGGATTTCCGTATGTTATATTGACAATATAATTTAATATTTTAATTAATGATTGAGACAGAAATAGTTTATAATTTTTTATAATTTGTGTTAGAATAATTTTTGATAAAGATTGATACAGAGAATATTTTCATATTTTATTTAAAATTAAATTTTCCTTTATGAATATATTTTTTTGAAATTTAAATTTTTGATCAAAACTAACTAATATATAAAGTATATGGCTGAACAATTTCAAGCTTTTGTAATAACTCCTCGCCCATTAATCGTAAAAGCGCTTCCTTGAATTTTACAATATTTTCAAGATTAAAGGTGCAAAGGAATTTATTCACATTTAATGAATAGCCAATTATCCAATAAAAATAATTATAATAAATATTTTCTTCCTCTTTTATTTTAGTTTTAGTATCAATCTATAATGGATTAAAATTAAAATTTAATTAATTTAGAAAATAAAAATTAGAAGAATGCTAAATTCTAATATATTTAATTTAAATCAAAATTTTCCAAATATAGTAAAGCGGTTGGTCCCGTTCCCCAGTGCCTTGTTGTATTGTAGATGTTATTAGCAGAGCCGCGCATGTTGCAATCATGTGTGAACTCCGCAGAGTATAGAAATAGGTGAATCGCACGCAGTAGGGGAATATAGGGAGAGCTCTTCCCTATAGACTCGATGGATTGGCCGGCCGGCAACTCTGTTGAATGAATGAAGAAGTGATCCGCCTTAGCCTATTCCATTAGAGCTTATATGCACCAGCCTATTTCCTTATTGCTTTCCCAAGGATAAGTTAGTGGCGATAATAAACTTAGATAATAGGCGGCTAATAACGCTCTGGGAATGGCCGTTTGTAATATTCTTTGCACCTTCCTGCAAACTTCCGTTAACTAGAGCGACATTGCTCTTCACGTGTTTTCAGGATGATATCCGCCTTACACCTCTAACCTTCCAATAGACCGTCCCTGGTCGTTAAGATTTGACCATCCTCTACACCTCTAACCTTCCAATGGACCGTCCCTGGTCCACTTTTATATTTTGTTTTATATTAAATGAATCCCTCAGGATATATTTTTTTGTAAAATATTAGTTTGTTTTTTTTTGCAAAGATTTTCTCTAATACTGAAGATTCGTCAAAGTTAATTTTAAATGTCGGTTCTACTTCAACTCTGGTTTTAATTATTGAGTCCCGCAGAACATTACAAATTATAAGGTTTATTTCATTATTGATGGGTTTTGATACTGTAGGAATGGTACAGAGTTCTGAACCTCAAAGCGGGAGCCAGGATTTTCTATTAGTATTTCTTTCTCTGAATTTTAAGCATATCGATTTTTGCTTATTTGGTTCCATGGGATTAGGTTTCCGATCTTAAGATTTAGTTGTGAAAATCAAGAGTTGTAGGTGGGATTCTAGCAAAAAGATCGCTCCCCAAAATTACTTGTTACCGACAGAGAGAGGAACCCTCGGGGCAATTTTCGATTTTGAAATTTACTGTTGCTGTTACACCTAATCCGTATAACCACTAATTTAGCGGTTAATTGAGGCATTGAAAGGTTAATTTGTGCCTCAGGTTATATTTCAAGTCTCTGGATTGGTCCATATTTTGATAGGTTTTTCGGTTTTTTTTTGTCAGCTTTTTATTTTATTTATCTTTAATGAACCCCTCAGGGTTTGTATTAATGAATTCTGCCGCAAGATGAAATTCTAAAGCGTTAGACGCAGCGCAGATTGGAAGATTTAAGACTATAATTTTTGTGTGGAAGCTGAAACAGAAGGCTCATATGGTTTTTGTTAAGATCAATTTTTGTTAGAATTAAAGCGTTAGGCGTAGTGAGCATTTGAATGATAAAAAGGATTTAATTTTGTGAAGTGAGCCAGTATTTTTTTTGATTTTGGATTTTATTTTTGAGTTAATGAAAGAACTTAAGATATTTAGACGCATGCATCATGTATAGCGAATCGTATTATTAGCGTTCATATAATTTTAATTATTATTCAATTGAACCCCTCGGGGTTTAGGCTTTGCTTTTTATGTAACCACAAATCCGTTTTTGTAAATTTTCTGGAAATGTACATTTTTGATTGAGTGAACAGATAGAAAAAATGAAAAAGTATATAGCTTTATTTTATGAAAATTTCATAAAAGTGAGTACTTAGAGCAGGAAAAAATAACAAAAATCGTACTGAAAAAATAAAATTTAGGATGAGGGAGAAAATAAAAGATTTCAGTTCTGATCAGATTTTAAAATTATAATGAAACCTGCAGGTTATTAAGCTTTTTGTGGGAGCGGATCTTTTCATGTATTTTTGTAAATTTTCTGTAAATAATTTATAGACAACAACTGATCTTGGAAAAAATTTTGTATTATAGTGGAAAAATTTATCTAGCTCATGAGAATTAAAATTTTGGAGCATGCGATAAAAAAAGAATTTTTCATTTTAATTTCTTATGTAACCACAAATCCGTGCTTTGAGAAAATTTTTTTTCAATTTTTTTTGAGGCCCCCGCATAAGTTATGTTTTGAAATTTTTTTTGCTTTGCCTCTGTAGAGTAATGACAGATTAACTTAAAGTGGATACTATGTCTAAACTCATTTGCCTTTCTTAACTTATTTTTATTCTAAAGAAACCCGCAGGTCATGAAAGACTACGTTTTCCGTTAGATAATTTGGATAAAATTTGGTAAAATTTGATAAAATTTGGGATACTTTGTAAGACCTGAATCCGGACTAACTTATTATTATTCTGGCTCATGACCTAGTCCGATTTTTGTTCCATACCAAGATTTAAATCTGATCCGTTTTCCAGATCCATTTATCCCTTTTTTTATATAATAACTCTAACATTATTATTTTCTGGAGAGATTTTCCAGCTTTGTTTAATTGTTTTTGTATTTTTGCACAATTTTATTTATTTTGCACAATATTTATTACCAATATCATTAATGGCTCCCTCAGGAGTTATAATAATTAGTTTTCACTGAAAAAAAAATTATAAGATACTTTCTAATCGAAAAGTAAAGAATAACGCTAGATTTCGAATATAAGACTGGAAATAAGAGAATTTTCTTTACATAAATATTCTTATAGAAAAAGATTTACATGAATATTTAATAAATAAGAGGTCAAACAATTTACATAACTTAAAAATTTTTTTGAAAAAAAGTGAGGCTAATTAAGTCATTAAATTTAATTCTTAGATTGAACAAATTTATTCAAAAATGAGAAAAAAAGGAAAAGTAATAATTATTTTGACTGAAAATAAATATTCATTTAAAGTGAACAAAAATTAAGACAAAACATGGCTAATCGTTACACTGTCTTATAATTCAGAATATTACTTAAACCAAAAAATATATGAAAAATAAAAATTTAATGTGTAGAATTTGAGAACTTTAAATGAAACCCGCAGGTTATAGGCTATTTATTTTTTTTGTCTAAGTATTGCCTTAATGTACGTTTTGTATTTTTTATGTAGTTTAACTAACAGGATTTTACTCGTTCCATTTACTTTTCTTAAGTATTATTGTTGAATCGAACTATTGTTGGACTTCCGTGTTCCCTTCTCAAAAAAAATTTTGTGACAGAAGTCTAATATTAAACTCAAATCAAACAATAAATTTTAAACTTCAACCTAAGTTTATTGTCAGAAAAAAATTTCTTTTATTTATGGAGCTTAATCCGTGTTCTGAGAAACTGTTTCTTGCCTTCTTATTTCGATTTGTTTCATAAGTAAACAAAATATCGATATCGATTTAAATTTTTTTGTTTGCAATGGGTTTATTTGATCAGTTTACTATTATTTTTGAGGCCATGGCTTTTTTGATAACTTATCTTTCACATCATTTTAAGGGAATTTCTCGCGAGACTAATACTGTGAACTGACCCCGAAAAAATTATAAACGATTTGAATTTATAAACAAAGAAATAAGAAAGTGGATTTGAGATGATATGGTAGATAAATATATATATGTAAAAAAATCGAAAGAATGAAACAATATACATAGATGAGCCATAAGGCTGTTTCTTAGAATATTTGTCAGTTTGAGAGGGGCTCCAGGTTTTAGAAAAAATTCTAAAATGAAACCCGCAACTTATAATGTCTTTTTTTATGAAAAATCCAAAGAGGGCTTTTTAAATAATTTTTCTGGAAGATTTTCCCACTTTTTAAGGACCTTACTTTTGTTTGAGACGATTTATATTATTTTATTTTTATTATTTTTTTGTATTTTGAGTGGCCTCCACAGAGGTTATAAAATAGAAAGATCAATCGAAGAATATATAGGATGATATTAACTTTAGAATATTAGATTAAAGAAAAAATTTTTAAATTTCGAGTTGAATTTTATAAACATCGCAGGTTAAAAGAGAAAAAGGAGCCGGGAATTTATTAGACAGAATCCTCTATTTCCCATTTTTTAAAATATTAAACTCGCATTGCCATATATGTAGGTAAATCGAGAATGCTGAAATTTTCGGAACATGAGTAATTAAATTAATATCTTGTAATTTTTGTGATATGAATACATATAAGTTGACAGAAAATGTAGATATTTTTCTTGCATAAATTAACTGCCGTTAATAATTTAGAAGCTGTATTTTGTTGTAGATATTTTGTGTAACATTTGAAAGAAGAGGATTTTATTAACAAATTTATTGAGTAAAAATTAAAGAATGAAAAAATGGAAATTACTGAAATCCTGCGGGGTAATTAAGATTTTATGTTAATACACGGTTAAATTTCTTTTAGTACAATTAATTTCAGATTTGACAAAAAAAAAATTTTTTTAACATAATTGTACCCCT